CAAGTTCAAACTCTCTGCTCAACAACACGTGCCTGAGGAAATGCTAACACGTTACTCTGACTCTCAGGCGCCTCAACCAAGAAGGGCTTGTACCTTATGTGCAAAGACGCGGCGCATTGCCAGGACTTCACCTTCAAGGACATCACCCTCGTCGCAGCTGTAAGTTCTCACAGATGAAACTATGATGAGAAGGTTAGTCTTGCTAACGGCATACAGGATGGCAGTGCAGGTGAGATGGAGTGTGTCGGATTGGAAGGAGCCACTGGCCTCGGTATTCCATGCACGAATGGTACCTTGACCGGAGGCAAATAGAAGCAAACTCTGAGCGACGTGCGAAGGCGAGAAGTCTTGCGTACTTGATCGGAGCAAGACATCATCACTCTTAATAAATACATCATCATCAAATACTTGACGCGGTTCCAACGTTGACTTCCCGTCTACCTTCATGTAGACTGCATGAAGCTTGTAGGTCAACCATGTATGGTCCATTTCTCGCCCGAAGGCAAGTACATATATCTTCTACTTCACATAGGCCGGTGTAAGTGAGTGCGGACAGAATGGGCGTGAACCAAATCAACCAAAGTTCCTATTAAAACAAAGATGAAACAAAGAAAATACATGCGTAAAGTAGTCGTCCACGTCTACCTACATAGACGATGGCCTAGCCTTGTCTAGCTTTTCGACAACTCGTAAGTAAGCACCAAAGAGCTGAGCGTGTTACAATTTGTTTTCCAAATCCAGGACCTCTAAAAGTTTCAAAATGATGAAGGTGTAGAAGGTCTAAGCGGGATCCGTTTCTCTTCGTGCATGTATGCATAATGAACTTCAGTCATGATCATCAATTAGCCATGGGACTGTCCTTGAGCAGTTGCACTTTTTCAACATGGAACCTTTGAACATGAAGAGAAGGTGATTATATATGGTCTACTTAGGTATATACACTAAAGCCGGCCCCTTACCTCCGTGCTTGCTACGTCCATCATCATCAACTAAGATTAAGCTGTATTTACTTCTTGCACAGGCGATCGGTCTGCTTGATGAGCCAATCCTCCTGGCGGGCAATGTACCAGTCCTCACTGCCGACGGCAGTGGGGGCGTAGAAGACACCCCAAGGGTCAATCTTCTTCTTGAGAGCGTACAGCTTGGCGTAGTTGGAACCGAAGAAGGCCTGGCCGAAATCGGGCTCCATGACGTCGCCCTCGTTGCCGTAGCCACCACCGCCGGGGGTGATGTTGCGAAGACGGCCCATCCAGTCCTGGGTGATGCGGACGTTGGCGGTCTTGATCTCCTCCTGGGTGGCGGTAGCGCTCCAGCCGCCACCGATGATGGCGAACATGAGGGCCTCACGCCAGGCCGGGTTGGCAGAGCTGGCGGTGACGTCGGAGGGAGCGGCGGCGTTGATGTTGTACTGGATCAGCGCGGAGCCCTCGGTGATGATTCCCTTGAGGGTAGCGATAGTCTCGTTGAGGAGGGCAGGGTCCTCCCAGTTGGCCTTGGGGATGAGACGGTTAGCGGTACGGACGGTGTCGGTACCGACGCTCTCCATGGGGAAGTGGTTCTTCCAGGTGGCGTAGAAGTTGTCGTGCTCAAAGTACTCGGGCTCGACGCTGAAGCCGAGGGCGGCCCACTCGGTGAAGAGAGGCTCGACCATGGCCTTGAAGTCGGCCAGGTTCATGCCGGGGACCAACCAGGGGCGCATGCTCCAGAGGTAGGCACCGTTGCCGGCGGGGAAGAGAGTCGAGTATCCGTAGGTCTTCTTGGCAGAGAAGTCGGGGAAGCGGCGCCAGTAAGCCTCCATGGCGGCCCAGAAGACGGTGGAAGAGATGTTCTTCTCGGCGGTGTTGAGGCTCCAGGTAAGACCGGCGAACTGGGTCTTGGGGTAGACTCGGACGGTCATGGAGGTAACGACACCCCAGGTGGCACCACCGCCACCACGGACAGCCCAGAAGAGCTCGCTGTTGGTCTTGTCATCAGCAGTGATGTGGCGACCGTCAGGAGTGACAATGTCGACGCTGAGGACCTGGTCGGAACCAAGACCGGCGACGGGGCTCATGGGGGAGTGGCCACCACCGGCGATGTAGCCACCGGTGACACCGACACTGCGGCACTCGCCGCCAACGGCGGTGTAGCCCTCCTTGTCAGCAGCCTCGTACAGCTCAGAGACCTGGATACCGGCACCGAGCTTGAAGGCGGGGCCCTCATAGCCACCGGCAGACTTGTAGTTCTTGATGAACTTGAGACCCTTGAGGTTGTGGGTCCAGATGGACAGAGAACCGGCACCGGTGTTCTTGCCCAAGAAATCGTGACCAGTGTTGCGGACAACGAGACGCAGGTTAAGTGTGCGAGCAAAGTTGACGGCAAGCTGGATCTGGGCCACGTTGGTGGCCTTGACGGAGTAGAGGGGGAAGCCACCAATCTCGCAAGTGCGGTTGTTGGCGGCGTTCTGGGGCTGGCAGGTAGAGCCCTGGTAGAGAGGGGACATGACCGAAGTAGGGTCCTCATCGCTTTTGGATATTAGTCTGAGGTGCCGGTATCAATCAAGGCAAGGCAACTTACTGAGTGTCGGAATTGGTCCAGTTGTCGAGGAGGTACTGGCACTTATCGGCATCGTAGTGCTCACCGGCGTAGCAAGCAGCTCCGAGGGGAACGGTCTTGATGAGGGAGTTGCCAGTCAAGAGGTTGAAGACCTTCCACACGGGCTCGGAAGGGTAGAAGAAGTCGCCGGGGAAGAGCTTGCACTTGTTGTTGGGCTCAGTGCGCTTCTCAATGTTCGAGGCGTCAGCGAAGGTAAAGAGCGAAATGTTGCTGAGCTCGAGCTGGGTGAGGTTGGCCAGCACGGCATCAGTCAACTGAATGGTCTCCTCGGGGATGTCTGCCTCGGGGAACTCCTCGGCGGCGGGGGCAACAGTGGCCTCGTTGGCATCTGCAAAACGTGGTCAGCATGGATGGTGATGAGATCGGTAGAGGGTGACTCTGGGGGAGGAGGCAGCTTACCGACGGTCTCACCATCGACGACGAGCCTCTGGGCTCCGACGAAGTTGGCCAGCGGCATGGCCGCGGCGAGCAGCAGAGCTCTTCCGAGAGAAGGCATCTTGACAAGAAGGGAAATCTGCTTGTCAAAGAGGATTAAGGATCCTTGCAAGTTGGGTGCAAGTGGGATGAAGGGAGGGACAAGAAGAAGAGTTCACGATGGACGTGCTCCTCATCTGGAGATATATACGTCCACGATCATCAACGGCCTCGGACCATTCCATGTCCTGTCAGTTCTCTCCCCCGAGTCCCCCCCACACGTGGCTACATGCAGCATTTGCAAGCTATTGGTTATCAGCCGCATGATGCCTCCCAGGTTGCCGGGATCCACGTTATCGCCACGAGGAACATGGCCTTGGCTACCCGATGCGCATCTTATGTCCGTATAGGCAAAATGAAGACTCCATCGCCAGGAGCTGCTATCAAAGAAGCGGCACCTGGAAGGACCAAAAAGCAGGATGATCATCCTCGAGGGGTGGTTTCCCACTCCCAGCCGAGCCGATGGAGAATGGGATTTCTGCTTCCTTGGGGCTTCGCAATGGCCTAGCAGGGATGCCTGTATACGAAGACTTGGCAGGCCAGGGTTTGGGCGAAATTAATTACTGTCTAGCCCCCAAGTTACCCCCAACGTCTTCCTAGCAACCCGCCGTTTCCGTCGACACACAGCGGCATATTCACGGCACTCGCGGCAGTTTGCTGCGGGTTGGTTCAATAGCCGTACCCGGAGCCGCGCTGTAGAAGTTGGGCTTTATTTTGCGGAGGCCATCCCTTTTTCAACGTCTGTGGTTCGTTTAGATATGGGATGAAACTAGTACACACAACTCCAACTCCAAGAGTTGTAAAATCGTCAACACTATCAGAGCTCCTCCCGTAACTGCAACGTAGCAGCCGAAGAGTCCAATGTCGGAGTGAAATCCAAAGATTCTTCAATGGCATTGGCTGCCTACTGGCCCCTCCTCGGGGCACAATGTCCCGCCGGTCCTGCATCATCTCAGGGGCACTAGCTTATTCCCTTGCCACTTTGCCAAGCCGCCTATTTTGACACCCACGTCAAAGAGAAGTCGGCAGCGCAGGGAGGTTTTTTTGGAACCTGGAAGCGAGTGCTCTGGAGCTTCTTATCGTTCTAGAATGCACTTGTGAAGTCAAAATCACGCACTGAGGGCCCCTCATCGCTCATCGATACCAAGACTCTCGGGATAGACCCGATCAGAGTAATGTCGTCAGCAACCGTGCGCATTCGACAACGACTCGAACACTCCTTTCAGCTTTGAGCAACCCAAATTGGTTTTCGGGGGCCCGACAATGATCACACCGAGCGACTATACTGCCCACCGGCCGTTTGGGCCGTTTGGGAAGTCTGCGCCGCTCAAGGCAGTCGAACGGGTGGGAACTCGGAGGATTTCTGCGCCGCCCGTCTGCCTTCTTCAACGGAACGCCACGGCTGCTAGTCAGGCTCGGCGCAGCTAGGATCCCTTTTCCTGTTCTTTGCAGAGATACACACCCCAACCGTAGACGTACGCATTTCTAGTCACTGACTCTCTGCTGCCTGTAAACTCTGTTGGTTCAGGTTGGGAACTGGTTGGTCGAACTTGGCTCTTTTGTCTGCCCTCTCTTCATCTCAAACCACTCTGAGTAACTTTCTGAACCCTGCCCACTGCAGATTTCGGATCCCTCCAGACAAAGCGTGTCTTGGAATGTGCTGGCAAACTTCATTGGTCCGGGGAAGTGAGGCGCTCTGCATAACAAGCGAGTATGGGGAATGGAAGGGCGATCCCTCTTGATCAGAGATGATGAAGGGAGAGACCGAAGAGGGGATCCTTCCGCGGGTCAGCCGAAAACTTTGACTTGCTCAGCTCCTTCGTGTGTCGAGATCTGCCATTTGCTGCTGGTTGGCTAATATTGAGGAAGGTCGTATTTGGTCTTGGTGCTATTAATCCGCACGAAACGAGAAAGTCTTGGGCAGCAAAAACATTTCAGTATAGAATATTAAAAGATTTCCCGATTCCCATAAGGCTGCGATGGGACCTGTTGCCTCCCGTCTTCTCCGGACCTCCTCTTTCACTGGTGATCTTAGTCCCAGTCGCTCCGTCCCGACTGCCGCAAACCTTCAGCCCGAGTCTTTTGCGTGTTCTTGCAACTAATCGACCTTTCCGAAGCCGATCCCGTCACAGATCTGGCCGAGATGCCATTTCATCTACTACCTCGAGGCGCGCCGCCACATCCCGATGTTTTAACGATACCCACACCTCCACTCCAGGAGACTGCAATCATCATCATCTTCTTCTTTCCAGCTCTATCGGTTTGCACGTTTGGCCTACGGGCGTATGGCCGGATAAGCACGCGTCAATGGGGACTAGGTACGATGTCAGCACGACTGCGTTATTGCTTGAAACTTACAACAGACCAATAGATGACTGGCTATGTGGCCTAGCCTTGGTATGAGCCTCACCCTATAGTTCTCCGTGTGGTACAGGGAGGGGATTTTGGGTTGAGGATGTAGCTAATGGTTGAACAGCTATTTGCAGTCTTAATGACACCTCCTCTATTCATGTGTAAGTGGAACTAGGGTTAAGGAATGATGGCCTAGCCAGTAAGCTGACATTTTCTGAACTCAGTTGTCAAACTGAATTATTTCGGATGGAGAGCTGTAAATGTCCCCGAGGATTTCGACAACAAGGCCGGACTGTGGTGGAACTTTTTGGTACAGATGGCCTACAATCCAGTCCTCGCTTTGGTCAAAGCATCGGTATTGGTGTTTCTACTCCGACTAGGTGGCCAAAAGCGAGGCGTTCGAACCGCTATTATCGGACTCAACATCTTCAACGCATGCCACGCAGTCGCCGTATTCTTTACCGCCTTATTCCAATGCCTACCGATGGAGGCCAACTGGGACTTCTCTCTGCGAGGCCAGCCAGGCACAAAATGCGTCGACAACTCGTTTCACGTCATTGCATCTTGCATCACGATCGTCTCGGACCTTCTAGTGCTCGCCTTGCCCTTTTGGATATTTCTCGGGCTCAAAATGCCAATGGCGGCCAAAATGGCAGTCATTGGGGTTTTCCTTATGGGTCTTGTGTAAGTGACAATTTCAAGTAATAATAAGCCTGGGTTAAAGCTAATTGAGTTCGGATTAATAGAGTTACGGTTGTTGCTGTCATCCGAGTCATCCAGATCTACAAGCTATTCTTTGTCCCATCACCTCCAGGGACCGATCACTTTCACAACATTGGCCTTGTGAGCTCTACTGTTGAGGTTAATCTAGCTATTTTCTGTGCCTGCATCCCTGCATTGCGCCCTCTATTCCGCCGATGGATGCCTAAGTTGTTCGGGGGCACGACCAAGAAGACGACCGGGAAAGGATACTACGGAAAATACGCGACCGGTTCATTACGAAACCCAACGGGAGTACAAGAGAGCAACGATATTACACTCAAAGAAATGCGCTCAAGAGCACACTGCACGGAAATTCGCAGTGTTTCCCCATCGGGTTCTGAAGAGGAAATCATGACATACAACGGAATCGTCAGAACAACAAACGTCAACGTCCAGTACGAATCCAACACCAGCGTAAACGACTTGGAATCTCGACACTCGAGCGAGTTCAAAACGATCGACAAACCAACGAAGGGGACAGCTTTCTGAGCTGCAGGAGATGCTTGAAATTTTAATCGGTGTTCTTGGGCGTTGTGGATCGCGGGACATCCCGCCAGGGTTTCAATAATACCACTTTTTGGATCTGCCGGGTGCGAGCAAGGAACCATTACCTAGTCCGCACCATGCACGGCTTTAGTTTGCTGCCATTTTTTGCACGTTTATACTAAATACCTTGGATACCCTTCTATAATGTCACTTTGGTTTACTGTTGATCTGCTGAGATTCAAGACGCCAGCGATGATCGTGTGATCTTGCCTATCAGTGGACCTGAATCTCTCGGCGGTCTACTCCGCAAGAACCTGACTGAATCAGAGTGCGTGAGTGCATGATATGAGTTCGTTCTCCCTTGCCAAAGAAGTACGGAGCCCGACTCCATTCCCTCCCAAGTACAACTCTAATTCTCGGTTTCTCAGTGGTTGTGCCCTTGCGCATCCTGGGTTTTCTTATTAGGTCGAAACTCAACTACATGATGCGGGCTTGGCGTCGGTGCCTGCGAACGCTTAGTGGAGAGATTGGTGCAGGGTCTACGCGTTGTCTCCATCCTTTGCGATCCCCTTATGTGCAGTCAGCGATTTTATGAAAACTTACAAAGTATATTTGGGTAGCACTCAGCCCGCCGGCATGGCTAGGAGCTACATAGTCCCGGCAGAAGGGTTTCCAACGAAGGTTTGAATAACACTAGAGAGAAGACGTGATAAAACCAGACTGCCCGACTGTCTGAGATTCGGGGCGTCCTGGGAGAGACTACCAAGTCTTCACCTGAATCGTAGTCTCTTGCTATTCACCTTCCCACAATGGAGCGATTTTCTTCTCGTCAAGAAAGACGCGCTTTCGGCCCCATCCCGCCCAACTCAGAGAAAATGAGGCGATGGAGATTCCGCAAGTGAGACTCCTTCTGGCAGTGATTGACATGGACATGGGCAAAGGGTCCTTGTTAAGCGTCGGCCCAAGGAATTAGCCAATTTTGACAGGCAATGACAGCCCGCAACGAGGCCCAGGACCCCGACGCTAGAAGAGCCGGCCCCGCTGTGGTCTGACACGACTAGCGGTGCAGAGAACCTAGATCCTGGGATTGTGGGAAATGGAGCTCCCCTGCCTGCCGAATGTTCTTCGAACTGTCCAGCCATTTTCTGCTGCCCAGGTGGGCGGGCGCCGACGTGGGCAGACGCTGGGTGTCATTGGGCCTTGGAGAAAGAAGGGATACTACGACGGGGTCGACGGAGACCAGGTTAATCTTAACCTTGTTCAGACGAACTATTCCGTACGGAAACTTGACAGGTTGGCCGCGATGCTTCGGGCGCCCGCATCTCGCGGTTGCAATGTTGCATGAACTGCTGAAACCTGCCAGTACTAACACGACCAAACGTCCGGAAGCCTATTGGGCCTCACAAGCACCCAGCCAAAGAGACAACAGCATGCGTAGTCCGCCCCGGTGTGCAGTTGCCGAGATTCATAGCTGCAGTTGGGGATCGATAGTCTCCATTTTCCGTACAACTGGCAAGGTTGGGATGCAGGCCAAGACCGCTGATCTTTCCCTCTGTTCCCTTCCTACGGATTTCTGGGGATCGGTGCAGAGACTTCGAACTTGACCGCTGAATGGCTTTTGCATTTGCGATGTCCAGAAGCAAAGGACTTGGGGCAGATCAGGAAGCGAAGCGAATAGGCTTTGGTTGATCTTTGCTTGGCTTGATCAGCGTCCCAAGGGCATTGAACCGAAGCTTTGGTTAGGTGATCTGGGATACATGGGCTTTATTCATCGATTTTCAACTGTAAAGTCTATCCCCACAGATTTGAGATCTAGCACTGGCAGCACTGGTAGAACTCAAGGGCTTGGGGTCGCGTTGACTGATGGATCTCTAATTACCTCCCCGCGAATGAGATAGAGAATTTCTGCATTTTCCAAGTTGCCATATTTTAGCAAACATAGATCGGTGGTTTATGATAAACGGGGCTGGTAAAACAGATGACTCTAACAGTATTAGAGCAGGCATCCATGCTGTGCTGATGCTTCACGGTACATAAGCTTGCATCAAGGTCAACGATCAACTTCAAGCAATATCCTGCCAACATGAATGCCAACCTGCGTTCCATTTTACGGAAGTGATCTGTTATTGGGATATCCAACCACCAAACGTACTTCTGCATGTAGACACTACATATACTCATACTTCATAGAAATAGCGCTGTTGTCTCCAGTCTCTTGAGCGGTGATCTCCACATGATGATTCGCTGATATGTCTTGTCGTGCGGCTGAAGATTAAATAGAAGCTCCCAGAATCATACAAGACGCCAGAACATGTCTCACTCGTGCTTGAGCCAAACAGATGGCATGATTGCTACCTACTTTATCCTTTTCAAGTGAACGTTTCTAGGTGCGTTTTCTCAAATTTTCACTGCATGCCACCTTGTTGGCCAAGATACGCTTGAGATAACCGCAAACGCAAGATGGCTGTCAGTCAAGTTTGATTTGCTTGGTCTCTGCTGTTGTGGCGCCTCGAAGACCTCCGGATGCAGGCAAGTTCAACCGCCACATTCCTCTCAATCAGTATCGACTGATAACCTCGCGGGACCAGCCGAAAGCTACCGAGTTTGAGCATTCCTGCGGTATTGTTTTGATGGTTTCATGTCTGTTCTGACAATCAGTCTACAATCTGTGCCACGTGGAAAGGAAGGTGTTGGAAATTTAAGAGGACGGGTCTCCTCGAGAGAACAACAACGGCACCACCCGTGCTTGTAGTATCGGCATCCATCAATTTCATAATGCGTCTTCTTGCTTCAGCGTCAACTTTGCTCACTGCTCTGATAGCAGTGACCAGTGGGTCATTTCTATCTTCTAGAAGAGAGATAGCACTGTGTCTCTGCGAAGATGAAGCATGGGATATCACAAGACGATGGCTCAGCGTCTTCTCAACCCCTGGCGTTTCTAGCAAGGCGGAGCTGGCGACTATCGTTTCTCAAAATCTCACGAGCTACGACGACGCATTCGGTCCTCCAACCATTGGAATCGATGGACTCTGGGCCGCCCTGACAGCACCTGGCAACGCCACGACAGCCAACGTGACGCAGACGCCCAACTTTATCCTACATACATGCGACCAGATTGCGTACAACTGGCAGTACACCGCTGTGACAACTGGCTATAATTCGTGGGTCTGAAGCTTTTGCTCAAAGGAGGTAATAGAGTGCTAACATTGCTTCAAGAACGGTAACGGTGGGAACACCAGTTGCCTTTACCGGGAATGATATCATCCGGGTTGATCTGGCGACCAGGCTGATAACTAATGCCACGTCCGCTGGAAATTGGATTGTACTCGCTGGCCAATTAGGGGATTCATGTACTGTCTGATGATGTTCTTCTCATCTCCGCCGAACGGCCCCTCTATCATCTGATATGTTGGGCCTATTTTCGTTGCACTCAAGGCCTACTTAAAGTAGCTTGAATCTCGCAAGCCAATACGGAACCATCCTTCATTCGATCCGACCATAGAATACTCTTGATTGTCTGAGATATTCACATGTCGTGAATGGAAACTAGGCGAAGTCCTTAGCAAGTGATGTTATGCACTGGCACTGAATGATCCACGATTGCCTCGATTCACCAGCACCAAGTTGCTGAAGTATGAAACAAACCAAGTATAAAGACTTAATTCATGACCACACTCACATTGGCCCTGAGAAAGAGCGTCAATCACTTCTAACCTAACAGGAATAATGAGCGCACGGCTACCCAATTATCCTGGCTTAGGCCAAGAGAATGATGACACCGTTTGTCCTCCTCCTCAACACCACCAGCCTGACGATCCACCTCCTGCCTATGAAGAAAATCAGGCCCCTCCTACCCAAGATGAGTCTCAGCAAGCCCCAATCATAGAGTCAGTGACATTTGGCTTGTCAACATGGCCGGATAGCGCAGCACCATATATGGCACTTAACAAACACTGGCCGTCAAACCCGGAAAGGAAGAGAATGGACATGGTTTATAAGATCCGCTACGGCACCAAGATGTGCGAGTTCATCCTTTACTGGTACCCGCCTCCAGTCTCACGGTTCCCGGACAGTCGCAGAAGACGGGCAGAGCAGAGATATCTGGAGCACTTTGAAGATCTGTGGATGGAATCTCCAACGCCTGAGGCTTCTCCCCACTTCCTTCCAGTTCTCAGACAACTTGACGCGGCGATTATTCACACTATGATGTCGCAAGAAATTCACTTGGAACAATCAGATAGGCCCTGGAAGTGCCAGATCATTGACCAATTTGAAGACCCACACCCCTCAATGTATGCGATGGTATGGACCGAAGGGTGGGCTGACTATCGTCACCGGGAGGTTCTGGCGGTTGCAATATACAACGGGTCAGACGTCTATGTTATCCATGAGGACAGGCCTGGTCAGTGAGCCCGCCAAATAGCATTAGTAGGTGAGGAACACCAAGCTACTCCTGGTAGCGATTCACAGTCTAAGGCAGTTCAATAGAAAACGTGCCAGGGTATTATGGAGCTGCAAGAAGCTCTGCCCATTTGAGCCCAAACCCTGAGGTCTCCAGTCTTATGAGGGTAGAACTTGATCATTGAACGTAGATTAAAGCTGAAACGTCATAGATAGATCTGTGAGAAGATTGCTTGTATATATAATCGATAAACCATAACGCCATATACGCTGAGTATGCTACTTGATGCGATTCTCATTACCTGGCTAGACTAGCCCATGCCCCCCTGATATGAAACCTTCAACTCCCTGCATACCGCTTCAGAAGATGGGCGAGTCAGTCTCATCTACAATCTGAACCTTGATGCTGCCATTCCTATAGTCTGACGCGAGCGTGAGGGCATCGACAGCCTTCTCGAGAGGGAAAGTGTGAGAAATGAGGCTCTTGAGATCGAGAATGCCGCTGCTCAGGCAGGCGATGCCCGCGGGCCATGTGTCGCGGTATCTGTTTATGAATTCGAGCTTGATCTAGAGGAATTTTGTTAGTACCTGGCTCTGTGTGAGGTATGTGTGCTTGTTGTCCTACCTCAGCAAGAGATATGTGCATAAACGGCAAGTTATTCATGATTTCTCTTCCAACACCAATAACCATAACCGTACCACCGCGGCGAACAGTGAAAGCGGCAGTGCAGATACTGCTCTCGACACCCGTGCACTCAAGCACTGTCCTGGGCGCGCTGTACTCGTCGTCTCCGAATAATTTGCGGATAGCCTTGCCGTTGCCCTCGTTGCCGAGCGCGGGGTCAATCTTGTACGTGATGACGCTCGGAACCAACGTCTTGGCGAAGGCGAGGCGGGAGGGCTCGATATCGGTGATGACGAGCGGGTGAGCGCCGGAGGCCCGAGCCGCGGCGAGAGTGACGAGGCCGATGGGGCCTGCACCGCATACGACAGCGCCGACGCCGAGGGAGAGGCCTGCGGTGCGGATGCCGTGCATGCCAACGCTCAAGGGTTCGAGGAGGGCGCCTTCGGCGTAGGAGATGTTGTCGGGGAGCCTATCCCGAGTCCGGCGTTAGATACATGCCTTCATATGTCCATTTAAGACTTCCTGCGAGGGTAAGCTCGACTTACTTGTGAAGCCACTTGGCCGGGTGGCACTTGTATCGCTGGATCGTGCCGTGGTATGGGTAAACACCCGAGAACTGGACATCTTCGCAGAGATTGTACCGTCCGTCAACGCAGAGGAAGCATTCGCCGCAGGGCACGCCCGGCTCGATCGCGACGCGGTCGCCCGCTTTGAGGTTCTTGACACCCTCGCCGACGCGGATGACGACACCTGCTGCCTCGTGGCCGATGATGCAGTCTCCCTCGAATACAAGCGTTCCAATGCGGCCCGTTTTCCAGAAGTGGATGTCAGACCTGCAGAGCGTTCCGAAAATCAGCTTTTGCCTTCATAATTCTTCGCAAAGTAAACCTGAGCTCTGTCGAACTAGGGCGGGTTGCGCGTTCGACGCACTAGAAAGACTTACCCGCACACTCCGGTAGCCTTGACGTGGACCAATGCCTCTCCCGCCTTTGGCGCGAGAACAGGCGCTTCCTCTGCCTTGAGCTGGTGATCGGCTGTGACTACCAGCGAAGGGTTTGGTAGCGGGGCCTGGATAGGTTCTTGCTCGGCACTGACGACGGGTTCATGGTCATGGTGGTGGTTGTGTTGCTTCAACTCCGTCACGACGACGACGCCATTGGACTTTGCGGGCGCAACACCATTGACAGGCGCCTCTGGCGATATCGTGGTAGCGACCATCTTGAAGGCGGCCGGGGTTCGGGAATATTACGAAAGGGAGACACCAGTGACTTGGAGAAACGACTGCTTTTCAAAGAGACGGGCAACTGTCGGCAAGGTAAAAACGATGTAGTTTGGATCAACACGGGAGAAACAAATGTTCAAGAACAGTCGCTGGAAGAAACGTGACGTGAAAGGGGAAACGGCTGGACATTCCAATCTGACAGGATTCGTCGAGGAAGCGCTCCTAGCCTACTAACCTCCATGCGTCCCGTCCCGTCAAATAATAATAATTTTTCCATCGTCGTGTGATACCCCCTCCGCCGGTAGCAGTGTCCGAATTTCCAACAGCTCAACATAACTAAGGGTCTGGGCAACATGCGGGGAACCAGCCGAGCGACTAAGGATGCCTCTTCTGTCGCGCCTTGGTCAATTTATTGCCTGATTGGGATATGTTAAGCACCGCCCGGCAGTTCTAGATCGTTGCGCCGGGGAACATGCCGGCTGTGTGTAGTTCGTCTAGATGATTGGGTCTGGACTATGGGAAGCGGTTTTTTTTGTCACCCCCGAAGCCGCCGAGTTCCGAGCCGTCATCGATGCGGGTCCGGCGAAAGACGAAAGACAGCATGGTCAATTGGATGCTGCCGCAGCTGTCGCAGCAGTATCAGAGCCTAGAGTTGAAGATGGCAAGCAAGTGCAGTTTTGTTGTTGAAATGAATACTTGTCACTCATCAGACCCAAGCGCAAGAAAATATGAACGAGGTCGTGATAGTTGGAAAATTGTTTTCATTAATTCGTAGCAGGTGTTATGACTATCAATCCCGTCAAGGGTCCTTTTATCCAGATCCATATCATACCGCAACTCTCATCTCAGACTTCGCTTATGCGAAGATACGCAGAGGGCGCTGAGGCAGGTAGAAACCAGGGTCGTTGAAGCGGAGACCACGGTCAAGGTCAGAGATGGACTCGATCTCCTCGGCCGTCAGGTCAAAGCCGTTGACCTCGAGGTTCTGCTTCAGGCGGTGCTGGCTGTTGCTCTTGGGAATGACAGCGACGCCGCGCTGGGTAGCCCAGCGCAGCAGGACCTGCGCAGGGGTGACATTGTACTTGTCCGCGATCGCCTTAATGGCATCGACCTCGAAGAGACCCTGGGCGCCGGTGGCGCGCTTGTTTGAGATCTCGAGGAAGGACTGGGGGCCAAAGGAGGAGTAGGCCGTGACGGCGATCTTGTTCTCCTGGGCCATGGAGATGAGGTCGGGCTGGACGAGGTACGGGTGGTGCTCGATCTGCAGGGCGGAGATGGGGTGGCGGGCGTAGGACTGGATGTCGTAGAGGGACTGGGCCTGGAAGTTGGAAACGCCGATGGACTTTGCGATGCCCTCGTCTGCGATCTGCTCCATGCACTCCCAGGTCTCGCGGATGGGGACGTTGTCGGGCTCGACGATGGTCTGCGCGGAGTCCATCCACCAGCACTTTTTGCGTCTTAGAGTCAGCAAACCTATGGTTAGACCGATGAAGGCGTTCAGGAACTTACGGGGTACTCGAGCTTGGAGGGCTCGATGTACTTGAGGGCAACGGGGAAGTGAATGAGGAACAGGTCAATGTAACCCAGGCCCCAGGTCTCGTTCTGCTTCTTCGCCATAGCGACGGCATGCTCCTTGCGGTGGTAGTTGTTCCACAGCTTGGTGGTGATGAAGATGTCCTCACGCTTCACCAGGCCGTCGGCGATGGCGCGGCGGACACCCTCGCCGGCCTCCTTCTCATTCTGATAGTCGTAGGCGCCATCGAAGAGGCGGTAACCGGTCTTGATAGCCTAATTGAAGACATTCACGGGTTAGAGAACATGGTTACTTGTGCATAGAGCTGAGCGCTTGGGTGAAACTCACGTTGTAGACCGTATCGGCGCAGGTCTCGCGGGGAACCTTCCACAGACCGAAGCCCACGAGGGGCATCTCACGGCCGGAAGCGAGACTGATGGTGTCCTTGCCCATTTTGAAGATTTTGGAAAGGGGGGTATAGATGCTAGAGAGACAGGAAGAGAAGTTGCGTGATGTATGAGATGAGTTTGCTCTAGAATGACGAGCTTTGAGTTCTAATATTCTCCATCACACGAATCTACTTTTTTTTTCTTGCGTCCGACCCCGCCCTCACTTCAAATGCGCACATAACCCCGCCTCCATTAGGACAGCGCCCTCCGGCTCTTCTTCTGAGCATCATCATGGAGGGGTTGAGACTGAGAGTCAAGGTGGTAGAGCTTACCGAATATGGCAATCTTAAGCACGAATGATTCAGAAAAGGGCATGTATCCCCGCGCTTAGCGTCCCCCAGGTTGACTCGTGTTCGACTGGGTTCCACGAGGGGTTAGTAGCCCGCTTCAAGGAGATGAGCTTCTCTTCTGTCCACCTCATGATCAAATGGGAATTATGAGCTTTTGCATACAGACTCGAGAGAAGTACACGGATAGCATCGGAAGTTGTCCGGTAATAGTAAATCCTAACCGTCAAGATTCGCAGCGCATTATCCGTAGACTCATCTAACGTCGTCTCACTCGCCAAAGCATGAGAATCATACCATCAGCGATCAAACCCCATGGATGATATCCACAAACAGCAATGTCCCTGCAAACGCTTATCCTGAACCGCACTCGCGTCAACGGAACCCCGACCTGTCGCTGAGAATCCGTCCTTCCCCTGTTCCACACACACCAACTTTCTCCAGAGACTCCAGTAAGGCTCTTTCTTCCCCGTCCAGGCTCCCACAGTTCATGGAGTCGAGCCCGTACCTCGGGAAACCCTCCACTATTTGTTGGGGACTTTTTCCGCCTTCCCAATCCGACAAGATTACCCCCTCCAGCCGCCGCTGTCCGTTCTTCAGCCATGGGCACACAACAAGCACCCCAAACATAGCAGCCGGTTGCGATAATGACGGATGATACGGATCCAGTATCAGCAAGCGGTTCTGGAGCTGGTGCTGGTCCAGGAGGTTCGAAACAGAGACACAAGAGGACGCGCACGGGGTGTATGAAGTGTCGGGTCCGACGGCGCAAATGTAAGCTTCTCTCACCTTGTCCATCTCTCTATTCGTGCTGCTCGTACATGTCGTCCCAGACCCACTGAGATATCATCTCACCGAGCAGAGCTGGCATGACACCGCATGACACTGCAGCTTAGCTATGTTTACTCGGTGACGCTTCACCAAGTTACTGTTGACTCTCTTTATTGACCAAATGTAGGCGATGAAGGAAAGCCGCGATGTCAGCGCTGCATCGACGGAAACTTTGAGTGCCACTACGGTCCCAGACTGACGTTCTTGAATAAGAATGCCTTGACGGTGTCACCTTCGCCCAAGGTGCCCGATGCGACAACCCCAAAATACTCGCGCCTTCAGGTCCGTAAACTACTAGGAACCATCACCCGGCTTAGGGTTTCTCGACTTACACATAGATCTAGTTCGTAGGTGCCGGGTCATCCAAACAAGCCGCCAAAGATCCATCATTACATGCATCGTCCCCGCCGCGCGAGCAACATGGAGTCAACGGAAACATCGCAAACGATCTGAACCGCAACCACTCATCTCTACCGCCACCGCCGCCATCACAAACACCAATGCCAACGGTGATAACATTCCGCGCAAATACCCAACCCCCAGAACCGCCATCAACGGCGACAACCAAACCGCCACCTCTTGAGCCGAGCCTCGCGCCCCTGATTTCCCACCGCCAGTACCCGCCGCTCGCGCAATGGCGGCCACCTCAGAGCTCGAATGGCCTCGAAAGTCACGAGAGCCTCTCGTCGCCGGTGCGAAATCTCGATATCACGGGGAAGCTGACAGGTCCATCGCCAAATAATGATGCAGCGTACGAGACGGCCCTGAATGTTCTGCTGTCGCTCGGGAACGAAGGACCGGCGGGGCTGGGCCAGTCGCCTGATCGTGGCTCCGGGTCCTTTGCGGTTGGTGGTGGTGGTGATAGTATCGGGGTGGTGAGTCCCGGAGAGGTGATGTCGTTGTCGCCGAACTCGACGAGGGAGAGGAGAGAATCCGGGGTGTCTGCGACAGGCAGCATATCACAAGATCGCCTGCTGCAGTTGCTGCGTCACTTCAGGTACCAGGTTGCTCCATGGGTGAGTCCAACATCAAGCCTTACGTGTACGAGCTTTTGGTCGTAGCATTACTAATGATTGTTTCGTAGCTTGACTTGTGTGATATGGGACAAACCTTTGGTCTTTACGTTTCTCGTCTTGCGGTCGAATCTGAAGGAGTTCTTCACTCGCTTCTCGCCGTTGCTGCGATGGCACAGCAGGCCGATATGCGCATGGTGTCCGGCGACGCCGAATACCTCAAGTCTCTGGCTGAGGCGAAAGCTTTCCGGCCAAATGGACCGGTCATCAGCGACAGCGATCTGGTTCACTTGACTCTGTCTACGGCGTGTCGATTCATCTCTGACATCCCCAGCGGCTGGAACAGCCTGTCCACCGTCATAAATCACAACTTTTGGGACATGGCACTAGCAGAAGCAACTCCAAAGACCATCTCAATATTATCAGTCTTGGTTCGACTAGGTACATTCACAGCTCTAACATCCCTCAAAAGATGTATAATTCACACTACACTTCAACTTAAACTAACTAAGAAGCAGAACTCGCCGCCGCACTCGTAACCGGTGCCCCCATCTCGATCCCCGAACACCTATCCTACAACCCCATCCCACAACAGTGGAACTCCTCCACCATCGCAGAGACAATCTTCCAATACACCATCGAACCCCTCCTCCTCTGCGCAAAAGTAGTAAACTTCTGCTCCGGTAGCTTCCCACCACAAAACCCACCCGATCTCGACCTCAGCGGCGGCGTCCCACTCACACCTGTCCACCGCTGGACGATGCTCAGCGATGCCCTCGGGTCTTGGTATACCAACCGGGCGCAGGAGTTCCGCCCCATGGTGGAAATGGACGGCGGCGACGAGACGCTGTTCCCTGTCATCCTCTTCACTAATGGTGCCGCCGTCTTTGCGAACCAGCTGTATCATACGGCCATGTTGCTATTGCTTCAGAATAAGCCGCGGACGCTGCAGGCGGCGACGGCGGCGGGTAAGAAGTCGTCGTCGTCTTCTTCCATGTCACCGCTGTGGCATGCTCAGCGCGTCTGCGGGATCGCCCTGAATAACGACCGGAGAGATAGCTGGGATCTTTGCTTGGTCGCGTCGTTGTATCTGGCGGCCCAACGGATGACGTACGAGCCTCAACAGAAGGCGATTCTGGGGTGCTTTGACCGTATTAAATCAATGACTGGATGGAACGTCGACGGCTTCTCGACGAAAGTTCGAGAGGATTGGGGGTTGATGTAGATAATCACACTTTGCAGACGTGATCACAAAACGTCGCCCTCTAGCCAAGGTGAACACGACCACGTAAATAGTTGAAGAATCCATCATAATAATGAGAAATGAATCACCTAACCATATCAGCGATCCTGAGTTCCTTGCGGACCTTGTAGCCCCAAGCGGCCTCAAGGTCGTCAATTCTCCAACAGGTGCCCCATCCCGTCACAGCCTCGATGCTGCGGATGAGTTTCACGAGCAGAGCATGCTCTGACTTGTGACTGAGAAGCCGGCCCGCGACCCAAAGCGGCTGGATGGCGTTATTCAAGCAGCCCTGGTGTGGATTCGCGAGTGATATGCCACAGATGCATTTCGCGTGCCAGATAGCGGAGCCCGTAACACCGCCCAACTTGAGATTAAGCGGCCGCGGCATGGACCCGAGCAAGAGCGTACAGGCCGTGTGATACAGCTGGTTCGAAGATATGGCCGCCCAGTGCAGGAACAGGATCTGAGGGAACGGGCTGCTCTGTATGCTCTGGACGGGCAGCAGCTCCGGCGGCCGGTCGCGCGTCCAGGCTTGGAGGTCTTCCCAGAGGCGGATCCAGCGCTCGGTGAGCTCGTCGGGGCTGCTGCAGCCGGATGCGTCGCCGAGTTCAAAGTAGCGCGTTCTGTCGGCGACGAGCTCGCAGACTTTGGCGCAGAGGTAGACGGCGTAGTTGGCGTGCATGTCTGGGGTTCCGGACTGGTGAAAGAGCTCGCTTGCTTCGTTGTGGGAGGCACCGCTGGGAAGCCATTTCGATGGGGTGAGAAGGGTGCTTTCTGTTCCATCAGAAATGAGGGCACCGCATAGGTCTGATGGGTATGTTAGCGAGAGAATTTAATCTTAGAAAAAAGGTCAAAGGGATAGATTGGAACACACCCATTCGTGCGTAGCACCAGAAGACGGCTTGAAGTAGACCGCCGCTGAAACCGTGAACGTAGAACGATTCAAAGAGCGCGGCACACCCCTCGAGATGTTTCCTCCAGTCCTGAGCACTGGCAGACATCATCTCGAGACAGCACAGAATCGTGCAAATGGGAATGATCTTTTGGTCTCGGGATTGCAGCAATGGCGTCAGTAGACGGATAGCTTCTTGGTACAGCTCGAGGCTGTCAAACGATGTTTGTTTCCCCTCCTTCCGCTCCATCTGTCTTGCCGAGAGGGCAAGGACGGCGTAGAGGAGTGCAGGGGAGCTTCGGGCAAGGACAGGAACTTGAATGCCAAAGGCCCTGTCGCTGTCGAACATGTCGAGCTATTGTGAAGAATGAGCATTGGCAACGGCGTAGTCAAGAGGTTAAATGTGATGCAAGCTCACCCATGTCGCGACTTCTCCGACGTAGTTCTTCAAATATTCCAACCTTCGACCTGTCCCCAGAATCTGGCCGGCCTGCCGTCGCGCAGCTCCCTCGTCGCCCAAGATGGTACCCGGCGCCGCGAAGCCCCCAGCAGAAAAGCCGCCATCAGCTGCCTCCGGCGTCCCCTCTCGCGTGGGAGCTGCCGTTTGCGCCGTGTTGAAGATGAGGCATCTCAGCTCCTCTTGGTAGGCGAGATAGCCGGGGTCGGTGACGAACTCATCCAGCCTCCACGACTCGGCCGGCGACGTTGATGCTTCGGATGAGAGGTGGTGTGAGGGCGTTGGTTCGCCGAGGCCCCATGTTGACGAAGCGCCTGGTGTCACGGCTGACCCGAAGTGTGAGAATGCTTGGGATTGGGAGTGGGATCGGACATGAGAACGCGAGTGAGAGTGAGAATGAGAGTGAGAGTGACAGTGAGAGTGTGATTCAGATTGAGAATGAGATTGTGGCTGAGACTGAGAGCCTGGGTTTTCTACCCGGTCGAGGGGTGCCGCGGTTGATTCGTCATCGTTGGCCATGGGCGAGAGCATCGTGAGAAACGTAGTTGCTAGCGTTAATGCAACTGCTCACCGGCTAAATTCAGTCTTCACTACATGGAAGTGAAGCTCAACTCAAGTATCGTGAAATCGGCCAAAGCCCACCTCATGGATCGGAAGGTTTCGGTAGGTCATGCGGGAGGAGGAAAAAGACTGGATCTCCTCTTCACCTGTGACCTCCTCTAGGTCTCTCCGGCGTTGCTCCCATCGAAAATTGCCCGACTAGCGGATTTCGGATGTTGCTGGCGTCCAATTGCCAAGTGCGCCGAACCCTGGGGGGGAGATGGGTGCATTGATTGCTGCGGGGAACCCAAGTTAGCGGAACTTGCGGGGAAGTCAATCGCTAATGATTGGCCTTTGGGGAAGGGGGTATTAACTCGCTGTAGTGCGTTCGAGTATTCAAGGACGGACCTAGACCGACATCTCGGTGAACCAAACCACTCTTGCCGAGAGGATGCTCAGGTGAACACCGGTGAGGGGGGATGAGAAGAAGGGTGCATCTTCCGCAACAATGCCGTGTTGGACAGCTCACACATTATACTGAGAGACCTTGCGGGCTCTCGGTGCTTGCTATGGGCCGACTTAATCCGGCTTCATGTTCTACAGTATTCAGATGCGATTCCTCTGCACTGCCTTATGAACGTCCAGGGCTCACGGGGTGAGAGAACACCCATGAGTATTTCCTAACTCTGCCTAGAACTTAAAACTTCAAACGATGTCGTATGAAGAGTCTGTTTCCAGAATTGAGAGCCTGTATTGACATCGGCCAGCGCGTTGTGCTCTTCGGCCTCAACTTCACCGGCACGGCGGGGCTAGGACCTCGGGGTTTCGGTGCTGATGTCACCGGCCGCGGGGTTCGATGAACTCTCGAGTCAAAACGGAAGCCGAAGCCATGAGCCGATCCCCGGGGGCCGTGGATTATGTTGAGCATCGTTTACTCCCCTTTGGCGGGACCCTGCAGGAGAAGCCGCTGGTGTAAAGCCCGGAGAGTAGTTCTGGCTGATTTAAACCTTGTGTGTCCCTAGAAATCGAGCACATATATTTGCACCCTTTGCTCAAAATATGAAGATGGCTCAACTCAAAATCACGTCTTTGCGCTTCGAGCACCATCCCACCGGACTAGGTGTCTCTTCTCCTACCCCCCGTGTCTCATGGCGCGTCGAGTCCGACCCTATAGCAAAGAATTGGCAGCAGACATCGTACGATATCAAAATCTCACGTGGTTCTGCGCCGGCCCAGGAATTCCACATTGAGGGCGCCTCGACAATACTCGTGCCATGGCCCGACACTCCTTTGGCAACAGGCGAAAGGGCAATAGTCGTCGTTAAGTCTCACGGGACCTCAGAAAACGCCCAATTGGACTCTGAATGGTCCTCGGAGGCGATCGTAGAGACCGCTCTGCTCTCCCGCGATGACTGGAAAGCTACGCCCATCACCGCGGCCCCGCGTATTGCCTCGCATCCACATGAGAGAGGAATCCGGCCGGTACGATTCCGCAAAGTATTTGACTGCCCCGATGTGAAAGGCGGTGGTAATACCAAACTCTACATCACTGCGCTAGGCTTATACGAAGCGTACCTGAACGGCCACCGCATCGGAGACGAGTGGCTCGCCCCCGGCTGGACTGCTTACCAACATCGTATTCAGTACCAGGTCTTCGATGTAGCGCATCTCTTGAAGCCTGGTCAACGAAACGTTCTCACAGTGGAAGTCAGCGAAGGGTGGTATGCGGGCCGAATTCTTTGGGGCGAGGGCTTAACCTGCCTATATGGCGACTGCATTGGTGTGCTAGCTCAGCTCGAGATCCGCGACGACGATACAACAGGGCCAGCTTTGAAGCTTGTGACCGACGATTCATGGGAGTGCAGGTCCTCACCAATCGTCGGAAGCGACATCTACGACGGCGAGACGTACGATCTCGGCCTCGAAGTTGAAGACTGGCATCACGACGACCACAGCGAATGGACTCCCGTCGAGATGCTACCGTTTCCGAAATCCACACTCACAGCGGCATCCTCTCCACCAGTCCGCACCACGGAGACCGTCAAACCCATCAAAGTCTTCAAAGACATCAAAGGCAAGACACTTGTCGACTTTGGCCAGAATCTCGTCGGAAAACTCGTCATCCCAAAGCTCGTGAAGCCAGACGGTCACCGCCTCACCATCCGCCACGCAGAGGTCCTCGAAAACGGCCAACTCGGAACTCGTCCTCTCCGCGCAGCAAAGGCAACTGATTCGATCATCTTCGGCGGCGGTCGAGTCCTAGAGAACTGGTCTCCTCACTTCACCTACCATGGCTTCCGCTACGTCGAGCTGGACGGCTGGGACGACGTGACGCTAGACTCACTCTCCGCCGTCGTCATGCACACTGATATGCAGCGGACAGGCTTCTTCTCCTGCTCCAACGACGACGTCAACGCGCTGCACCGCAACGTCATCTGGAGCATGCGCGGGAACTTCGTCTCTATCCCCACGGATTGTCCGCAGCGCGATGAGCGGCTGGGCTGGACGGGCGATATCCAAATTTTCAGCCCGACGGCCTCCTTCCTGTACGATTGTGCGGGCATGCTGAGTAACTGGATGCGAGACGTTCTCCTGGACCAAAAGGATGCAGGCGGCATCGTCCCGCTCGTGGTGCCTAATGTCATGAAGGACGGGCCGTGGCCATCGGTGCCGCAGGCTGTGTGGGATGACGTTGTTGTACTAGTGCCTTGGACTTTGTATAAGTGGTTTGGTGACGCGGGCGTCTTGCAAGAGACATACCCTGGTATGAGAGACTACCTCAAGTCCATTAAGCGGGGAGACGACGGATTATGGGATCCTTCGCTCTGGCAATTGGGCGACTGGCTTGATCCCAACGCACCGCCCGCCGAGCCAGGTCTAGCTAGGACGGACGGCACCCTCGTCGCGGACGCATATCTGGTTCACGTCACAGGCATCGTATCCCAGATCGCCAGCATTATCGGCCTCCCCACCGACGCTACTGAACTCGCCAGCCAGCATAAGCGTTTAAAACAGCTCTTCCAAGATAAGTATACTACCAAAGCGGGCTTCATCGTCGCAGATTCCCAGACGGCGCTGGCTCTGGCCCTACTCTTCGACTTACACGACACCATCGCCCAACGCGAAGCCGCAGCCGCAAGACTCGCGCGACTTGTGCAGTATTCCAAGTTCAGAGTCTCCACAGGCTTCGCCGGCACGCCCGTGATCCTTCATGCGCTGTCAGAGACGGGATACGTCCAGCACGCATACCGCATGCTGCTCGAAACGGGGTGTCCCTCATGGCTGTATCCCATTCGCATGGGTGCCACCACTGTCTGGGAGAGGTGGGATAGCATGCTAGAGGACGGAACGATCAACCCAGGAGAGATGACGAGCTTCAACCACTACGCGCTCGGCAGCGTCGCGAACTGGATGCATGCCGGTATTGGGGGGCTGTCGCCGCTCGAGGCTGGGTGGACGAGGTTCCGGGTACGGCCTCGGCCCGGAGGAGACCTACGGCACGCGACCGTCGAGTACCTGAGCCCGCACGGCTTGGTTCGGAGTCGATGGGAGGTTGGGGCGGATGGGAAGTTTGTTTTGGACCTGACAGTGCCATTGAACACTACTGCCGTGGTTTCTTTGCCTGATGGTGGGGAGGAGATGACGGTTGGCTCAGGGAATTGTATGTTTGAGAGCCATCTTGCTCCGGGATTGAGGGAGGCGTGGCCGCCCAAAGCTTTGTTGACGCAGTTTGGGCTGTGACGTGGTTTGAAATGACAACGTTGACTTGAAGTGCCTCTGATGGGAGTCCCAGTAGATTTGCAATTCGCAACGCGAATGTCGACATGCTTAAGTCTTAAGCTTGCAATACTGTAAGACGGGCTGCTAGTTAGCCCGCGTATTACTTGAATATTTCGTAACTAAACGAAATTCACAGTAACCACCATTACAAGACAATTTTATTGCCACAAGTAAACCAACTAGACTTCAGTGCTTTCAGTGCCCATTGCCATAATTTCTACAAGTATCAACCGTCGTTCCACTTCATTTTTATAACAGTATAATACCCAGTGCTGCAAAACTCTCTTGAAGCTTGTCTTACCAGTGTCTGCTTAGGTGGCCTGCCGTTTTGTTGCTGTAGAAACCTTGCCGTGGAGCTGTGACCACCGCATAACGCACCCATCCAAAGGGACTTTGGGGACTTTGGGAACTTTGAGTAGGGGACTTTTGCGACGGACCCCTGCTATCTCTGACTCTGACCGTCTGACGGATCTCCGTGCCGTAGAATTGCATCATTGCGGCCGCTGGTGACCTTCCGAGCTTGGGTACTCGCTGACGACTTGCTCATCTTTCTGATAAACCAAAGCTTACCCTCCTCCTCCTCCTCTTCTCATATGCCATTGAGGATTGCTCTCTCCTCGAGTCCCTCCATCGACATTGCCCATCTGTCAAACTGCCCATCATGCGCTACTCCCTCTCAGCCAAGCTGCTCCTCCTGCTGGGCTCTTCTCAGCTCGTGCTCAGCTCCCCCGACGACCAGCGCGTACTCGCTCCCGCTACTGAACCGACCATAAACGATGATGCCGCGACCTTAGGCTGGGATAAGGCCCCCATGTTCACGATCGAGAACAAAGACGTAATTTTCGCGGCGCTCAAGAAATACGCTGACCCCGTCGACGCCCTCGTGTCTCTTCAGCCCGAGATGGCGGATACGCTTGCCGAGCCGAGACTCATCCACGTTCATGGCGAGAAAATGGCAGAGTGGATGACCGAGGGTGATAAGCTTCGTCTGCGGCGCAAGGGACGCAAGTTCCGCGACATCACTGATTTCCAGGAGCTCTACGCCGACCACGTCAACACCTTTGCAGGCAAAGCCAGTAAGTCCAATTCATAATACGCGTCGAGATTGCTCCTCGTAGAATATAGACAGCTGACGCCGTGGCAACCGCAGACCTTCCCAAGATCACCCACCAAAGCCTCATCAAGCCCCTCTTCCCCAAGGTCAACCAGACAAACATGCACAATGTCCTCAAGCACATGACGAGCTACTACAACAGATACTACGGCGGCGTCACCGGCGAAGAGAGCTCGGTCTGGCTGCACGACCACGTCGCCTCCATCATTGCCCAATCGCCCTTCCACGCCCACATCTCGCTCGAGTACTTCACCCACGAGTTCCCTCAGTCCTCCATCATCGCCCGCTTCGAGCCCAAGGTCCGCGACTTCTCTAAGCCCCTGACCATCATCGGTGCACACCAGGACTCGGCAAACTACCTCTTCCCTTTGCTTCCCGCCCCCGGCGCAGACGACGACTGCTCCGGCACTGTGAGCATCCTCGAGGCCTTCCGTGTTCTCGCGACGAGCGGCTATGTGCCCAAGGAGGGACCCGTCGAGTTCCACTGGTACGCGGCCGAGGAGGCCGGGTTACTGGGCAGCCAGGCCGTCGCAGCCTACAAGAAGAAGGAGGGCGCGACCATTGGCGCCATGATGGAGTTCGACATGACGGCCTTTATCGCGCGCAATGCAACCGAGTCCATTGGCTTCATCAAGACGGACGCGGATGCGCCGTTGACCAAGTGGGCGGTGGATCTGAGCGAGGAGTACATCAACATCACGACGAGCGTCTACGAGCTCATGCCCGGCGCCGGGTCAGATTACATGTCGTACACCAAGCTCGGGTTCCCTGCTACGTTTGCATCCGAGGGAAACCCCGTTGCGGGTGGGTTCCCTGGCGAGTTTGACCCGTATGTGCACACGGAAAAGGATACCATGGATATCGATGATGAGACGGGTGTGTTTTCTATTGATCACATGGCGAGGTTCTCTGAACTGGCTATTGCCTTTGCTATTGAGCAGGCTGGCTGGGATAACAAGTGGAGGTAAATGGCGTTAGTAACGGGGACCATAGATTGATGGTGGCGATAGCGTTCTCACGAATGTATGGTGTTGAAAGGATCCTTCTGAGGGTCACGTCAGGCGCTGAGTAGTTCGAGCAAGTTCAATGACAACCGCCGATTTACTGTTCAACATACGGGTGTCTTGAAGTTTAAGGAAACCAATTCCGTATCGCGGCCGCTTCCTCATCGCATTCCGAGCCAGTTCCGAATGGCTCTCACCCACCCAGCTTGTCAAGACCCTTATTAGCTGATGGCGTCAACAACAGCTGGAATATGCATAACGCGATCGATGACAAATTGCGGGGGACTCAATGACAAAGTGCGGAGACAAACAGCGCCTTCGGCTCCCACATGCAATTGCAAGCTGACCAAGACAAGCTGAAGAATCTCATGAAGTGAACTTGTCTTCTCTTCTCGCTGGTTAAACAAAGCAACTTGCTCTTGTGCAAATCGAAAGTTCAACAGGTCTGGCAAATACCGGTACAGCTTCATTCGAGATCCTATCAATTCACCTGAACGATGGCCTCAGCGACATCCTTCCGCCAAATCGTCGGCGCCCCGCCCTCGACGGCCTCACCCACCGACAGCACGCTCATCATCATCGACGCCCAAAACGAGTACGCAGAAGGCAAACTCGCCGTCCGGGACGTCGCCTCCTCGCGCAAGGTCATCGCCGCCCTGCTCCAAAAGTACCGCGACGCCGGTCAGCCCAGCAGCATCGTGCACGTCGTCCACGACACGCCCGAAGGCGCTCCCCTCTTCACCCCCGGGACCAAGCTGGCCGAAGAATTCGACGAGCTGAAGCCTAAGGATGGTGAAAAGGTGGTGAGGAAGCAGTTCCCTGGTTCCTTTGCGGGGACGGATTTGCAGGCGCATTTGGAGGGATTGGGAGCGAGGGGGAAGAAGGTTGTGTTGACTGGGTACATGGTAAGTCTGGCCTATTCACATGCGGGATATCTAACTCGCAAGAAGAAGAGTCTGGTGGTTCGATTGCTGATGTGTGATTTACAAGGCTCACGTTTGCGTGTCTACTACCGCGAGACAAGCTGACCAGCGTGGGTTTGACGTTCTGGTGGCTGAGGATGCGGTCGGCGATCGTGATATTCCTGGCGTCGATGCGGCGCAGCTCGTCAAGGTTGCTTTGAGTGAGATTGGTGATGCTTTTGGCACCATTGTGCAGAGCAAGGACATTGCTTAGTTATGTTGAAGAACTGAAGTGTAATACGAAGTTATTCGATCAACCTGAATACTACTTTGCCCAAGATTACACCTTACGTATATTAAGTAATAACTTGAGAAAGTCACAAGCAAATGCATTGTGACAGACGAGCAGCCCAAGCAACGATTGGAAATGGAACAGTCAGGTTTAAGACGTGCAGTTCAATGGACACAACTCAACTTTATCATAGTTGAAAATCTTTAGAGCAATAGCTTGCTGGGGATTTCATCCAACCGGTCTCATTTACTCTTGTATCAATGTACCTAGACAGAACCCGCCTGACCGGGCCGACGAAGGCCACTTCGGACCACCTCCCCTTGCCCCCCGTCCTAGCAATCGAACTTCTGCACGCGGTCCCAGCCGTGTGGTCCTCAATGTGCATCGAGAAAACATGTCGATAGCTCAGGATTCCGGGCCAGAATCATCAGACCATCCAATTCCAGATCTAAAGCTGAAATCGCCGATTGGCGGCGCCATAGTGCGGAGAAAACGGCACCATGCCATCAAGGCCCTGACGATCGGCGAGGTATACCCAGAGCCTTTGAAGCCCACTAAAGAGGCACAGCAATCGCTACTAATTCTAATACTGACAAGACATTGGCTGCGCTTCTTGGGAATAAACAACGGAGTGCCGAGGAAGAGTTATGAGAGCCCACAGGAACCCCATCGTTGCAGGGCCGCGCAGCTAACCGACTTGGCGAAGAACGAATTCATAGCCCAAAGAGGCATCAGTGTCGTCACCATTCGGTGCTGCTCAACTGGAGCAAGTTGCTGGGCTCCCAATGTCCCACTGAACAGCTGGAATACTTACGAAGTTGCAAGGGCAATTCACCGGGTTTGACAGCTTGGGATTCGGACCTCGGGCAACTCAGTTCTGCGAGCGAAGCATTGGCGCGCTCATCATGATAGAAAACCATTGTTCTTGTCTTACGACGACCCCGCGATGGAAGATGAATTGGATAAAAGGCTTTGGTAGCCGCACAATGGGACGAGCTCGCGATGGCATCACTCTATTATTACGACCCAAACTCGAGTACCACGCATTCTTCGCGACGGCCATAGTTATTAGACTTGTCTCTAGTTATTAGACATCTTACCCCGACGAAGCCATCACGATGAGATCGTCCACCCTTTCCACGATCCTCTCCTGGGCAGCCGTCGCGTCCGCCGTCGCAGTGACAAACGACACATCGCCTTCCCCAAGCATTCCCAACGTTGTCCAGTCTACCTGGGACGGAAAATGTTTCTACCCTACGCCTGACGCCGCCTTTGACCTCGAGTCTTACCTTGGCCGTTGGTACCAGGTCGCCGGCACCGTTGCGCCCTTTACCGCAGGCTGCAAGTGCATCTTTGCGCAGTACTCTCTGAACGTGCGTACACACTCAACCTCTTACATACCCAGTGTCTTGTATTTCTCAGGAGTACATGTGACGGGCTAATGCCTAGTGATGTTCAGGACAACGGCACCGTCAAGGTGAACAACACCTGCGAAGCCGGGGGCCGCGCCATCAACATCCTGGGCACCGCCGCACCGGCCGATCCGTCGTACGGGGCCAAGGGTGTCCTTCGCGTTCAGTTCCCTGGCCAGCCCGGGCCCGATTGCGCCGGTCCGAATTACATTGTTCAAGGTACGCGCAATGCGCCCCCACAAGTGAGGGATGGCAAACGTCGGCACGGAGCTGCTTTTCCATGTCGGGGCCGAAATTTTGTCAAAGCATTTTCAAGCTGACACTGCGATTCTTATTCCACAGACTATACTCCAGACTTTGCGCTCGTGCAGGCAAGCAACTTTACAACTCTGTTCGTGCTCAGTCGCCAACGAAATCCGGAGGACGCGGTTCTCGATGTAAGCCTCTCCTCTCTTTTCTCTTCCCTGAAGTGCACTGGAATGGTACATCCAGAATGGATAGGAATATCTTCCGCAAGCGTCGCGCCCAGTCGCAGTGAACGCATTCGATTGGCTAACGAAATGAATTCTCGACAGGCCTGGATCGCGCGCGCCGGTCAGCTTGGCTCGAACCTCGCAGACGTTGTCAAGACGGATCAGACCGGTTGCCAGTTCGCATGAGACATGGGGAATGCGCCAAACGCTGCATCTGGGGATTGCGAAGGATCTGTGCCTGGCGCTTGGCCTGGAACGGAAGAATTGAAGTGAGACTTTGGGTCCTCGAATGTCCAAGAGCGGTCTTTGGGGCCAAAGGTGAAATAGTGGTATTTCTACAAAAACAGATGAAAGTTCCATGCAAATGCCGGGTGTCTCGTGTCAGTATCAATGTCAGTGTCGCAGCCGGTGACGTTCGCAAGCGGGATCATAACCCGGGGGAACTGAGATGTGAGAACTGACTGACCGTGCTCAGGCCTCGTTGTTGAAGCAGACACACAAGTCAGAGCTCATAATCGAGGATACCAAGTCATTGGTCAATGGCCGTAGATCTCGTAGCAAGCCCCCGGAGCTCAGCTCCAGCTCTCAGCTATCAGCTCACCTTTAAACTTTGGAGCTTGGAGCTGTAGCTTCGACACCATGACCCATAAGCTTCATTGACTTTTCCCCTAGGTTGCACCAGTGCGACCGCCAGCAGCGCCCACGGCGTAAGTTGTGCCACTTATGCAAGGGGTTTCTATGACGACACCACCCTCCGCCCGAGACATCATGACGAATGTGGCCGCGTCCGGCCTGTATTTGTGTGAAAGCATCTGTGGGCACCCTTTAACTGTGGAAGAGGACTAGGAAAAAGAAAATGGGAAAGGCTGGGCCTGAGCTTTAGGACTGAGAGCGGAGGTGAAGGACGGGGATGATGATGAATGAGGTCAGTGAATTGAGTTTGATTCAAATAGTTGTCGGCTCCTCCTTGCGAGGGGCGCCTTGCTCACGCGTGATTTCTGTTACTATTGCTACGTGAAATCGATTATAATTATCCTTCGATACTTCGAAAAGCTGCATCCCTACCTCAAGTGCCATACTACACATTATCTCCTTCCAATCAAGTAAACTACATCCGCCACAATGGTCAAGGCCAAGGAAGAGGTTATTTCCGAGTTCAATGAGTACGTCAACATGACGGCCGAGGACCTCGAGTCCTGGCTCAAGTCAGACGACTCCAACAGCGCGGGCTGGCCCAAGGACGACGCTGAGGGCGAGGGCGAGTCGGTCGGACATGACAGCGGGCGCAAAATTGTCGAGATCCTCCAGGCGAACCCCGACAAGAAGGAGGACGAGTACACAGATGAGCAGGTTGAGCACATGCGCAAGGTCGTGGCGTACTGGTGAGTATACTTTCGCAATGGAGATGGGGTGAAGTATGAGACGGCTTGGAAAGCTAATGAGCGATGCGATAATAGTAAGCGACACTTGGCGCAAGAGTCCCAGTCGAATAGTGACAAGTCGCCCGAGGAGGTGAAGAAGACCAAGTCGTATGCTTCACTGAAGAACTGGGGACACGACTTCCTCAAGGCCCAGGGCAAGGAGAATGGCGCGTCAAAGTCGAATGGAAAGTCCACCAAGAAGGAAAAGAATGGTGACGAGGAGAAGGCCGAGTCGAATGGGTCCAAGAAGCAGAACGGGTCCAAGAAGGAAGAGGAAGAGGCCGACGATGACAAGGAAGAGGAGGCTGCTGACGAAGAGGCCGAGGACGAGAGTGAGGAGAAGGCCGGCGACAAGCGCAAGAACGCCAGTGAGGAGAACGGGTCCAGCAAGAAGCGACAGACGCGCCAGGGCGAGGGCAAGTCGACTGAGAAGTCGGACGAGAAGAATGGGGATGATGACGAGGAAGAGAAGGCCGAGGAGAAAGATGAAGACGGCGACGAGGAGATGGAGGATGATGGCGAGGAAGGTGACGACAAGGAGAATGGCGGCGGCAAGGCGAAGAAGGGACCTAAGAAGGGCGATACCGTCAGCTGGAACTGGGGCAGTGGTCAGCCCGAGGGCAAGGTCCTTGACGTGAAGGGCGAAAAGTAAGTGAAGCGAGAGGTCGCCAGGTCACGATGAAGACAGGACTAACGCGATACTGAATAGGACGTCTATCACGACGAAACGCGGAAACGAAGTGTCCCGCGATGGAGATCCCGAGGACCCGGCCGTTGTCATTGACACTGGAAAGTCGAGAGCAATCAAGTCTGCTCACGAGTTGAATGAGTGATTGGAGTTATAGAGCTATGGGCGTAGGCAAAGCATAGTTCTTCGCCGCGTATCGATTTGCTTTACATCGGGGAGTTTGTGTCGACGCATCGTGTATTGTTGTTTATTGTATCACCTTCTTCAATTGTAGTCATAGGCATAGTGGTGAATTCAACCCAATCTGCAATGCGGTGTTATATTTTTACACTCCTATACAACATTTTACATGGCGTACATAACTTTTTACAACTCCTCCACTCTCTCCGACTGCGAGGACCCCGTATCCTTTTGGAACTTGGTGATGGGATCCTTCTCTGCCTCCTTCACCTGGTTCCAGAACTTCTCGCCATTCTCCTTATCGTCCTTAAACAGGTGATCAATTACCAGCTTCTTGGGCGTCTCACCCATCCACTGGAAGAGAGAGAAATCGCGGAACTCATCGGCCCTGAAGATCTCGAGCATCTCAATGGGCTCATCGCCGATATTCTCGACAAAGTGGCCCATGTTCTTAGGCACAATGCCGACATCGCCAGGGACGTAATCGAAAGTGCGGGCAGTACCTTCAGCCGCGAAGATGGTAATGCGAGCTCGGCCCTTGATGAAAAAGGACCACTCGTCGGCATTAGGATGCCAGTGCATCTCGCGCAGCGCGCCCGGCTGGATCGTGAGGTGGGCAGCAGCAACCTGTAAGAACCCAAATTGTCAGTCTTGAACATCCTCAGAAGCGTGGCCAAGTTTCAGTGTCTTACAGTCTTGGAGATGGGAAAGTTCTTGGAGTCAGTGATGCGGACCTCGCCGCCGGACGTCTGCTCAGGCTTCTGGTCAAGCATCCTGTGGGTGAAGTTGAAGCGGGACTTCTTGGCGTGCTTGCCCTTGGGCCGTTCCTCGTCAATCGGGCCCGGAAGCGTGCCCTGGAAGATGTATTTCTCGCCCTCGGGGAGGTGTTTGAACACTTCGGGCTCGAGGTGGAAGTTTTCGGCAATGACTGACTTGGGCGTGTGCGCGAGCCAGTCGGACAGGATAAAGGTTGATTCCTCGGAGAAACGGCCATCGTCGAAGATGAGGAGGAACTCGGTGCCATTGGGACTCAGTCCTTGCAGGGAGTGAGGGACGCCTGACGGGAAATACCAGAGGTCTATTGGGTATCAGATATTAGCCTTCATTGCCCTCGTCGCAAGATCAATGTTGATAAACAGCGTCAAGCAATCGAAACGGATATGGAGGCATGTGCTTACCGCCCTTCTTGAGGTCGTCGATGAAGTTGCCGCCCTCGTAGTCCAGTGCCGTAACGCGGACCTCGCCGTCCACGACATACGCCCATTCGGCCTCCTTGTGCCAGTGAAGCTCTCGGATGACGCCCTCCCCAAGACGCATGTTCACGCCAGCGAGCTCGACGCTGGTGGACAACTCGCGGACAGTCGTCTGTCGGGTCCATCCGCCTTCCTGTCATTTGGCAGATGGTGTTAGTCTGGGACGATGCTGACCATTCGTGGTATCTTCAATTACCAGCCCAGTCAGGTCTAAACCACCAATTACTCACCTCAATACGAATATGAGAATCCGCAAAACTCCAGCGCATGTTGGGCATGTTGCCCTTGTCCGTCGAAGGCGGCCGCACCATATCCGGGTTCTGGCGCGAGCGTTCGCTGTTCCAGGGCCCCAGCACTGAGGCGCCGAGGCCGTTGCGGTAGGGAAGCGGGTCGAGGCCGTCGCCGACCGAGTCGACGGCGCCGTCATTGGGATCCCTGAAGCCCGGGACGTACGGGTTGCTGGTGCTCTTCTTCTTGTAGCTCGCGGGGATGTCCATGCCCCGGAGAAGGCGTTCACGGGGGCTGTCAAAGTGCGGTGCCGCCGAGCACAGCTCGCTGGCTGACGCCCAGAGAAGCAACAGCTTGGCTGCCGTGGGTTGGGTGAAATGCATGCTGGGCCAAGATTTCGTGGTGATGGGGATCGATGCGACGGGACTGGGGGGGATGCGATGTGCCAAGAGGATAGCTCGCAGCAGAGAATGGAAATCGAGTCAATTGGGTCTACAATTGACTTTTTCCTTTCTTCAATGGCTAAGAATAAGACAAAAGGATGAAAGTCTTCAAGAAGCAAGACGTCCAGCTCGTGACACCGGGAGCAAGAGGCTATTTTATACCCCCTTTCTAAAGCTCATCATCCGACTTAGCCATGCCAATACCAATGCCTTGACCTCTTCCTCGGCCTCGCCAATGTCGCAACCAAGTCGTAGTACGTAAACACAGGGAGCTTACGAAGGGAACCATACCTCCGTCGTAGTCATCGGCGCATCACCTCACCCGCCCATCGCTGCAGTCTGCAGGTTGAACCGAACAGTGACACACACCACACACCAAGATCCCACGTCTGCCACACACCCACCAATCCGTCGACGCACATGCCGAACCACCCCCGAGACCCAAGCTCCCCCGCAGCTGTAGCAACAATGGCAAGGTAGTAGGGTACCTTGCCAAACCAAGCAGCTTCGAAAGCTGGCGCTGCTGCTGCTGCTGCATGCCACCTTGCATGGAATGTTCAACAAGAGCTCCCCCTCACTGGCTGAAACGCGGCAGAGCGATGGGCGTGGCACATCTTGCTCATGCGGGGATGAACCAGTCAACCTGCCTCCCCAGTGATAGCCGGCGTACCAGGGGAACAGAGGAACGCTTGCCGTAGGTAGACCAGGGCCCAGGAGGGGGGGAGGAGTAACAGACTACTTGATTAGTCTATTATGAGAAACTGGACGCACTGAGGTGGCCTGGCGTTTAAGCTCGTCACTCAGCGGAACCCAATTGGCCTTTCAGGTGAGCTGCTGAAGCTCTTCTCCATCGTTCGCTGCGACGTTGGCGGGATGTCTGCAGCAGGCCATGACGCAGGTTCCTGCGGCTTGAGCTCTACTCCCAATGCAACTCCAATGCATCTCCAGAACCATCGATTGGACAGGGCATATGTCGGAGATCCTGGAGAAGAAGCTGGTTCCGCGGCCAGGCGTTGTCAGGCCCCCGGTTTCACTGCGTGACTGCAGTGACATTCTGCACATCCCTTCTCTGACTGAGCTTAGTTCGAGTCCCTCATGGCTATTTCTGAGGGGCTTGCTCATGCTTGTGCAGTTTCTCGCGTTTCCCCCTCACTGTTCTTGCTTGAATCTCACGCCCCCTAAAGGCCCGAAAGTCACAGATCCTACCCGGTCCGTCGAATGGCATCTTTCTATCCCGTTAGAACCGTCCGCCGAGAGATTTACGGGCGGGGATAGATCGCTCTTGGTCTTGGCTTTCTTTCGGCATTCCTTTCCGCCCTTTGGCCCATATAAACCAGGCTGGAAACCTGGAAACTTTTCGCGGGTGGACCACGGCAGATCCGAAGTGTTCGAGTTTCTGGCCTTTGAACTTTTCTTCAGTCTTTCCAAAGTACTAACGGATACTACAAACATTGCGCGTCAGCACCCACCGGCTGTCTTTCTCCCCCATCCTTGGCACATCCATGTCAACTTGAGAGAGATTTGTTTATATCCGCATAGTTCTTCGTCGGCCAACGTCACTTGGTCAGAGCTTCCAGTCTCTTTGAGGGGAATCCCATTCTCCGTGAAGCTACAACAAAGCTACTGCTTCTCAACCACATTTCTACGTCGCGATTAGAGGCGCCCTATCCAATCAAAACATCCGTAACTCCGCAAAGATGAGCTCAACGAGCGGCAACTACGGTTCCGTCACAAACTCGGCTCCGGTCGTCAACGGCGATTCGCACGCACACGCCGATGAAGAGCAGCCTCTCCTAGGCGGTGGCGGCGGCGCTCGGAAACCAGCTTCCAAGTCTCTGCGGAAGAAGCTCACCACGGACGTGCAGCGCGACTGGGCCGACCTGGTTCTCCTCGCATGCTACATCATCACCGGTCTGCTCGACAGCTCTTCCATCTCCATCTGGGGCTCTTTTGTGTCGATGCAAACAGGTAAGATCCCTTCCAAGCCTTCCTTATCCACAATAACGGCCCGAAGCTTCGTGTTCCACATCACTGACACCGAACCAAAAACAGGAAACACAGTCTACATCGGCCTCGGCCTCGCCGCGCCCACCGAATCCACCCGCTGGATCAAATCCGCCACCTCCCTCATCTCATTCTGTCTCGGCTCATTCTTCTTCAGCCGTTTCCACCGCTTCTTCTCCCCCAAGAAGCGCTGGGTCCTCTGCGCGTCCTTCATCGCCCAGACGCTCCTCTGCGTCGCCGCCGCCGTCATCCTGACCGTCGGTCCCGCGGCCGGCAAGGACGAGATCGCCTGGAACGTCCTGGTGCCGATCGCCCTCATTGCCTTCCAGAGCTGCGGTCAGGCTGTCACCAGTCGCGCACTCAAGTACAATGCGCTCACGAGCGTCGTGTTGACAAGCATCTACTGCGACCTGTTCTCTGACGCTGAGCTGTTTAGCGTCCGCAACGCTGAGCGGAATCGTAGGGTTGGCGCGCCTGTCTTGCTGCTCGTTGGTGCCATTTGCGGTGGCCTATTCGCGCACAGCTCCCTGGGAATTGCTGGTGCTCTGTGGACAGCGGCTTTCTTGAAGTTTCTCATTGTTTTGTCGTGGTTCTTTTGGCCTGGTGAACCGACTTCGGACGAAGAATAGATCAAAAAGCTGGACTACATGTAGGCCGCCAACTGAAACGTTGCCCTCTCATTAAATTGCTGGCTAGACGAATTGGAAGTTGAGCTTAAGAAACCCAATCACAAGACTCTAGGCCACGTCAGTCTACACGTAAATACGGCAACAAAACCCACCGCATAAGACTTTATAAATGGCAAAGAGAAAATCCAAAATAATCAATCAGGTATCGGTATGTGTAGCCATGGAGCCAAGGCCTAAGAAACTTCCAAACAGGATGAATGAACGGTCGTGCTATTCCCATCGTCTTCTTATCTTTATCCCCCTTCGTCTCTATCTCGTTTACGCATTCCTCTCAATGTTGAACGATCCAAATCCAGTTCGACGTCTTATTTCAATTGGGTAAATATCAAGCTCCTAACAAACCAGCTATGCTTCTAATTCAAATATGAACTTCTCGGGGCTTAGCAACTCATCTTTCGTCGCCGACCACTTGCCCACGTCGCTTGGGGTCATAGGAGCTGAGCGGCTCGAGTCTCCCGATACCCGCGCCTTGAGGCTTAAGGAGGAACTGGAGTCATGCAGATGGTCGTGAATGCCTGACACAGCGCCAGTGCGTTCCCTCATACTTTTATACCGTTGCGTATTTGCCTTGCGAAGCTCAGCGACACTCTTCAGAAGCTTATTTGAACGAGGCGTTTGTGCTGTACGTAGAACATTTGTTTAGCTGCTCATTTCGCCTCTGAACATCGACATCCACCGGACTGAAAGGAACTCACCCTTCCTTTGACTGTCTTCGCTCATCAGCTCTCTAGGAAATCCGCTGATTGGGAGGAATGCGTTGCTGGAGTGTGGGTACAGCTCTGTCCGCAAACACAGAAATATGTTTGTGGTTGATAGCTCTTTGCTGACCACGACACGAATCCTCTTGAGCTTGAATGTGCCTCGGAGATACATGTCAGTGATGCTTGCTTCCAGGACAGGTATCTTCGAAGCATCATCAGGCAGCGTCCCTGTCTCTTCTACGACGAAGTATGGTTCGAAGTCGCCTCTCAGACATGTGCGGAGGAATTCGCCTATATACTTCATCTCGTTGGACGAATTGGCAAATCTGCAGTGGATGCGGCCTTGAGCATATATGTTAGTCTTTCGTGACGATGAAGTCAAGCGTCGTGGAGACGACCCGAGATCGGAATTTAATCAATGGGATCCATCACTTGCCTGTGCACTCGAAGCCTTCTTTCACTTGTCTCACTGATCCCGCATCTTTCTCGAAGAAGAAACAGCTTGCGACCAGCCTGTGTGCAATTTCTTTGATCTTGCCCCGGTTCATATTGAGGTATCGTTTTGTCGCTCTTTCTAGACTCTCCAGCTCATTGACCGCGTCTAGACGGGGGACCTTGAACCGCAGGTCAGGGTTGACACGGATATGTCTGCGGTGACTATCTCTGGTCACATGTGAGTTCTGCGACAGGATATCAGTCTTGAAATCGGACCATATCGCGTTGCACGAGAGTATTCGATCAAAACGATCGGCAGCGATTTGAGCTAGCTGTACTGGCAAGAACGTTCTCTTGCGCTTGGTCACGGTCTCGCCGCCTTTCGATATCTCCGTTCTATGGGGAGTAGTCTGGCTCTCAGAATCAAGACCGTTCATACCCGTACCGATAGATAAGAGAATGTCAGGCACAGTGTCGGCGATGTCGGGCCATATCATTCGTCTTTCATGGTGAGCCACCAGTACTGGGCAATTATGGTAGAGCGCGCCATCGAGGTAGCTGCTTTTGGTGTCTGCCTTCGTGAATGATTTGAAAAATGGAGGTGCAGCGGACGTTGCTCGGGCCCTTCTCGAGATTCAGTTTCAAGTTCGTGAATGCTTCCATGGATTCCATGGTACTTACGCCTCCCATGCCTTGAACTCTTGACTTGGCTCGTTCGATCGAAAGAGCCGATAAGGAAGCTCTGTCTCAATTAGTACTCTACCTCATGCGAGCTGGGGGAGCAATACGGCACATTGGGGAAGTACTTACCATCCTCCATCACATCCGGCCGGTTGTAGTTCGTGAGAATGACTGAGTGTTGATCGATAGAAGTTGTTGAGGTTACAGCCACTTTCGTGAGCATTTCGCTCTGGCTATGATCATTAGCTCCCCCGAAGAGTGGCCGATCCTGGAACTTCTCCCGCAGAAGAGCCTCAAAAGGCTTGGTCTTGTAGATACTTCCGTGGTTGATCGTGACAAGCTTCTCAAGCAGCGGAATGCCTGACAATTCCCGTGGCCTGAAGGCGTCTGCACAAAGATGTTTGAATGTCTTGATGCATTCCTCCACCGACCAATTATTGACTCCTAGCCCAAGAGCAATGATTCCTCCCGTGCTATTGCCAATGTCAGGTCAGGCTCAGTGACGATTCCAAGATCAGGCGAACATACCTCGTCCCGACAATCAAATCGAAAAATAGCTGTATCGGGAGTCTCTCACCGAACACTCTTTCAATGGCTCTAAGAACGTGAAGCTCTACAATCCCTCGTACTCCACCACTGTAACAAACGTCAGCCAGTGAACACAACTTTGTTTCGAGGAACAGTTGAGGGCAGCTGAGGGGGGGTCGTACCCGTCAAGACACAATACTCGAGCGCCCGCAAATTGTGGTTTGACCACAACCGTCCATGCAGGCTCCCACATTGTTTCCCGTTCATGAAGTGGGCACCTTTTCATCTCAACTGTCGTATGAGCCTTGATACCGTAAGCTTGAATACAAGGTAGACAGAGAACATGACCGCAGGGCAATGGGTGTTCAGGGAGCTCTCTCAGACACGAAAAACAAGTGGAGTGACTGATAAAGTCCCCTACATTACCCAAAGAGAAATAAAAGTCATTGAGTTGATACCTATGGAGGTCGGCAGCGACCTTTTGTTCGCTTTGCTCGCGTACTCGTGAGGTGGCTTCTTGGAACCTGGCATGAAGCTGACGCAGGTGATTTCGAATTTGATCAATCCACTGACCCGCAAAGTCTTGGATGTCAACGTCTGATTGATAATTGCCCGCTGCAAAGATACGTCCATGTTTGTTCTGGTGACCTTTTGGATCGTGTCCAAACTTGACGTTGTAACACTTTCCATATTTGGGATGAGAGAAGGTGCACGGCGCATAGATATCCGCATAGCCTTCGAGGGCGACATTGCAGAAATCCACGTACGCGTCGTCGAGAAGTCTCACAGGGGTTCCTGCAAATCGTTAGTACTACTTTGAAAGACAATAGAGGGGCATTGTTACTTACCTAGAATGTTTTGACGAACTGAGTCGAGCATAATGCAAGATGATATCATTGGCACCATCTTTTCGAAGATCTGTTGAGTTCCTCCGCCTTGCTGGGCAATTTGTGTTGAATTGTTACTAATGGAAATTGCCAAATTCAAGATGTTGCCACTAAAGTCTTGTGGAATTGGGTTGTGTTTCAGTGCTTCTTTGACAAAGTCAAAAGGAGTGTCCAGATCACGAGAGAAGTGATCATAAGCTGCGTGGAGGTAGACCTGCAACTTGTCTGCAGTTGCCAGCATTCGAACACGCTTCTTGGTCAGTAAAGACGCTTGGCATTTTTTGTTGATCAGCTCAAAGAGCTTTCCCATCTGATCGTCCATGAGCATGTAGCGACCACGAGACGGAACTCGTATCACGGTGATTGAAGCGTAGTAGCAGTCGAGTAAGTCTTTGGTAGTGTTGATGGTTCGGCCAATTGCCTGCCAAAGCCTGGCCTGCTCTTCGAATCGAGGCTCGCGAAAGATCGCTCCGCTGATGTCATCAAGAAGACGGGCAGTCGCGGTATCAATATTCCATTCATCATCATCCACATTGTCTGTTGCATTGAGAACAATGACTGCGTGGGGGAGCGCGGGCTGGTTCAGCGACTTGTCGATCGAAGCCGAGCCCCATTCCAAGAGTTTGTCGAGGACGGTAGATTCGAAAGCCCTACATCATTCAGAACGCGTTTCCCGATGAAATAAGCGTAAATTCTTACCTGGGATCTCTCAGGACAAAGACAACCACATCTGAGAAGGTGTAGAGAAGTCTGGGATAAAGCTGTGTGACTGCGTACTCTCTCTTTTTCGTTTCTGGGGTAATTGCCCATTCGAGGTCCCGCTGAGATGCGTAGCGCGATTTTCCGAACTTCCGTTTCGAGGATGTATCAATTACTCCAGAAGAGCGGCTAGCAGTTGAGGGTTTTGATGATCTGCCCAGACCAGTCTTGCCCATGACATTTGTGACATCGTTGAGGATCCCTAGAGCCTCCTCTTTTCCCTTTGTGCGATGTCGCAGACCTGCCGGCACAGCTTCCCCACCATCTAAGCCCTCGCAGTCTGCGTATAGCACAGGCGCTTGGGTATTGTAAGACATCGGATCAGCATACAGGTGAACATCGCCAGTCGTCGGAAGGCGGTCGTTGTTGGACGAGGTAACGGGAGACGGATATTTCCCCCCGCGGACAAGCATAGCAAGCCGGTCAATCAGCATTTTGATCAGCGTGCTTTTTCCAGCCCCTGAAGATCATCAGTAAATTGTGCGATCGTAAATAGAATCTCAAGAATACTAGCCTGTTTGCCCAATGAAGGACACCAGCTGAGGATAACGGTTCCCATGGTCTGAGGATAGGTTGTCGCTCATTAATGTGGCGAATCGGCCGTAATCCTGCAATATGGGTTGGTTGGATGAGTCTCGCCCAACCCCAAACCATGTGGTATCCTCATCAGATTGGAATTCGATTTCGTGCTCTGTCGCCGAGCGGGTAGGTTCCAGGATCTCGCGCAGTCTTTGGACCACCTGGGGATTGGATTTCTCGTGCGGTCTACCATCCCAGCCGACAGCGCCCGGCTCGTGAAGCTCCCATTCAGACCAGCAATCATCACAGAATGCCAGATTGTTGCATTGAATGCAGGTGAAAAGCCTCTTGGTCGTAGCACGACACTTGTGGCAGATTGCCGAGCGCGCTTTGCGAGCTGCATCTGTCATGATGTGAAGTGCGCTACAGTCTCCGAGGACTAGATGACCTTGTCGAGGGAAAAAAAGAGGGATGAAGGGTATGAATTAACATAAAGAGGGAAGCCAGCAACATCCCTTCCGCAACCTCGAGATTTGAGGTAAGGCTGTGAGGCAACCGGTCCGCGGGCATTCCCACGCCTGCTGCAACATTGCAGCCACCAGTGCCTCTGGGTCAGCAAAAGAGGTCTCGAACTAGACTGATTGGAAGCCGTGAGGCTTTCTTTTCCAGGATGCTGGAAGCGTTGCCCAATTGTGTTGAGCTGATAGACTCAGCCCACCATCTTTCAGAGTTGTGGCGTCTTCAGCAGGAGTGGTTCCAACCCTCGTCGGCGCGTCACTATGCATGTAAGATTCAGCTCGTACGGAAGCCCAGCCTGATATTTACCCCTTCAGATATGGAAAAGCGTTATGAACCTTCTCTTCTGTACTAAGATAATTTCGCGGTATACATTGGAACGACAGAGCGAGCTCAATTCCTTGGCCATACATTTACTGCCTTGCTGTTACCTTCGGCCACAATAGATTGAGTGCCGAGTTAGACGGCGTACAGAGGGCTGAAGATCGACTGAGACGTTACATCTTACTTCTGTGCACTGGGAAAGGACCACGAGCATCCCCCCATGTACCCAGACTCAAGAGCTAGTTTGCGAAAGTAGAAATACGCGATTGTGCTTGCTGACGCCAAGTAAGAGATGTTCTGACGTTTGGAGGGATTGACCTGATGTGAAAGGCGATTCGCTGAAAGTCTCCCATTATTTCCTAAATTATAGAGCTACCGCGCAGCTTCATTCCCCAACATGCTCGTAAGAGTGACGCTCTGTATATGTATCTTCATTGCTAACCCCTGCAGTAATGCCTTCAATAGCACCAGTGTGTTTCTACTTATGTGCCATCTGCAAAGAAAAATTTGCGCATCACTGAAGACCCTTCAGAGCTAGATTCATCCTTCGGGAAAACTCCAGATAGCGGTCCCAATCCGTGCCTTGATCGCTGCCGGCCGGCAGCGAAGCTCCGACGAAGCTCCCGACGCCAGCTCCGCCCAGAGATTCTTCAATCTCCCAGTACTTCCCGCCGTCGATAAAAATCACCTCTCCATTTCTGTTGTTGTCACTCATGAGCAAAGCAGCCGATCGAGCCACATGTTCAGGCGTATTCAAAGCGAGTCCGGTGAGAGACACCATCTCCTCGTTGACAATGCCAGACTTGGTCCAGTTCGGAGCGAGGGAGTTGAGCTTGATGGGAACAGGAAGCTCTTCCAGGTGCGGAATGAGACTGCGCATAAGACCAAGTACAGCATGCTTAGACGTGGCTAGTGTGATTGGTTGTATTAGCATTGCGGGGAAAATCGTAAGAATCCTCAAGTCAACATTGTCCATGTTGCGAGGAAAAAGGAGACGGCAATGCCTTGGCATGTGTTGTCTGCGGGTAGAAGTAAAATCGTGGAGGTAATGACACTTACTATAATCGACTGCTTTGAATCTTGACCAAGAGCTGACGGACGCAGTGAGAACAATGCTACCTCCGGTCGTCTGCTTGCGCATATGGTGGACAGCGAGCTTGACTGTCGAAATGACGCTAAGGAGATTCGTCTCGACGCAACTCAGGTCCGGTGCTTTCAACTCTCCGTCAAGAGCATCAATCTCATCGTCGATGAACCGGGCCCGGGCTCCAACTCCTAGTACCAGTACCGTCAGTCCTAGTACTTCTTTACAGACCCTTTTTCCTTGTCCTCAATCCACCGGGCTTCATGAAACCTCTGGCTGGAGTGCGGCGGCCCCTGATTAAATGACCTCGTGATCAAGTGGTGACCTTCAACTGCAAGTAAATGAAATTTTGAGGTAGGCATATTTACCTGCATTTGCGAAGACAGCATCAATGCGACCTTCCCGCTCTACGGTTCGGGCAAATACACCTCGAAGAGCTTGCCAGTCACACACATTGCACGGCTCGAATGTTAGACGAGCATCCACTGGAGATGGCTCGCCAGGCGCCGAGGCTTTGGGAAGACTCAGATCAACATTGGTAACTCGCGCACCCAGAGAGAGAAGGAGGTTGACCGTTCCCAGGCCGATACCCGAGGATCCGCCTGATGATGGCCTAGTCAGCATGCATCCTCTTCAGATAGTCTTCGATATGAGGATTCGAGTTGTTGGCTGATTGCACAATGATGTAGTTCAACCTAAGAAAAGAATACAAGACAGTCACCGAGGTGTACATACCTGTCACTAAGACAACCTTGTCTTTGAGGCCGACGAGGTCTTTGTCGTCGATTTCGAAGCGCGACATTGATCCGATATAACGTTGAGTTGGCCAGCTTTATTCCAGCTCGTTCACTGTGGTAGATGGCGTTTTGTATGCCCTCAGGCCTCGCTTCATATGACCGTGTTGGGCGTTTTATACACATGTAGCTGATATCATTGCGCTTAAAGAACTCCGTCGGCGAATATGGGAAGACCGGATGATTGTCACAGAAACCTTGTTTCATCCCGTCCGCGGCCTGCCGAGGTGCCTGTCCACCCCGCACACCCCGCTTCGCCTAGGTCTCGCCACTGAATCCAGGGACTAAGTGACTGTCAGTAATAAAATTGAGTTCAAAACCAATGCCATTGGTGGACAGGCATGTTACGATGTTATCCGAAGCGGGTAGCGACAGAATCACCGGTCCCTTTGGGCCTTCGGGGGATCGGAATACAGGAGATAACAAAGACTGATCCGCTCGTGCTTTCATCGTTTTCAGTTTTGAAGAGTATCCAAATATCTTCGAATACTTCTTCTCTGTCTTCAAGCTTCACAGAAGTAGGAGAATCTCCTCACTTCGTCCATCAACCTGGAAGATGGGGTTGGAACAAGCTTACAAACCATGCCAAAGGACGGCGTGATAACAATATCCATCGAGTCCGAACATTGAGGAACAATTTATAGAGTATGGCTGCTGCGATAAGTTAACTTTGGTTTGATTAAGATTGATGTTTGGCTGCTAAAGCTTTTGAGCATGTGCTCCACATCTAGCAGCACTCGGCGTCATGATGGAACAATTTCTTATACGAACAAAGCTGAGGTCTTAATTTCGAAGGCCCCCTTATTTCTAGGTGGTCTCTGTCCATAGTGCGGCATAGTTGGTATCCTTTCGAGCTCCCTACCTGCTACACACACTTCTCTACTGTAGTCTACATTGTCCTGACTACATGTAGCTCCTATCGGCCAGTCGGGCTAACCCTCAGCCCGAGGTGACATGAAGGGGACCGTGGCCGTCATCTACAGGGCAGCCAGCTCCATCAGAGTCAAATTCCACCACACAGGTAGCATCAATACCAATAGCGATGCCAATGAACTCGGTATCCTTTTGCTGCGTGCCGCTACCAAGGACGTTGCCGTTGCTGTCCTTCACCTCACACGTCTTGGGCGCGCCCCCAAAGTCTGACTTGCAGTGGAAGACTCGTCCGGTGTCCCAGCAGTCGCCTTCGATGGTGAATGTGCGGCCGTCACCAGTGTTGTAACAGGGAGAGTGGTCGTTGGGGTAAGACTGATCGTAGACAGCCTCGCCGGCGTCGTTGAGAATGGCAAAGCCGGTGTAGCCGCCATTGGTGCCAGATCCGCTGGGGCCACCAATAGCACCGAAGGCGCCAGATGACCAGACGACTCGAAGGTGCTCGGCGTACACAGATGTTGAGATGCCCAAGATTCCGAAGAAGATGGCATGGACGGAGGAATACATGATGGTCGGCTTTGGTAACGTCGTATAAAGATGTGACAGTGTCTCGATGCCAAAGATTGGTGTGGTTTTGGCGCCGTTGGATCGTAAGAGGTCTGTTCTCTGAGAAGATGTGAAGTGTGATGTGGTGGTTATAATTGTTCCTCTTCAATGGCCTTCATACGAGAGATTTATACTAGTGTTGATTGTTTCATCAGATACACATAGACATCAAAACCTCCAATTTTCTAGGCATCCTCAATCCACAATTCTCTGATGTCATAGCACCCAAGCTCTTGATCAAGTGGTGTATCGCGTCTCGGTTCATATGTGTAAAATCAGGAGCCCAAACTATTTTGCATCCACTAAAGGAATGTCTTCCTCGCAGAATATGAGAATAATCATTTCTCTTGCTAATCCTTGTGGGGACTGATGCCAAATTTGGAGCAAGTCTGTCGATTATCCTCCGATTTCTCAGGCTTTGGCACGGATATAGCCATTGGCTCAACTCAATAAGGTTGCCTAAATCGGGTTCAGTATAGAATTTGCCGAAGCCTAGCTGAAGCCTTGCTGATGCTAACTCCACAGCTTCCCACTTCTTAACAGGCCACGGTGTAGATCATCTCAGATACTGCTCAGCTGAAAGGCCGAAGATGGATTGGCGGAGCCCCCCGGTCTATCGATCGACACCGGCTCAAGTCTAACCCCAGACAAACTTGAAGTCCGACAGAATGCGTGTGCCGCACTACCGTATGTTATCCTCCGGTGCGGTTTCAAGCCTTGTCTCTGAATTGAGGTCAGTTTTCGCTCGCATTTTGAACATCGCCGTCTCTACGAGTCCGCGCCCATTGGCGCAATCGGCAGCTGTTACTACACTCACTTCATTCGTTCCAACCATTGGAACCGAAACCTCTGCGGGAAGTCCGAATGAGAGACGCACTCACGCTCTACTTTATTGAGATTATTTTCAGACAGGGTGGGGAATACTTCCCATCATATCGACGTTGGGAGCCAAAGATCTCGATCAGGTAGGTACTCGGGAGTCCTGTCAACGTGCCTTCTTCTCGCTCATTTGGTGAATAGATGCTATTGCGTCTCCCAGCGAGAGAATGTCGAGACGGGGGCTCGGACACGGGTCATAACCTCCTCGTGTTTCGGAGAGTCTATATAGCTCACCACCAACTTTTGCACAAATCGAATTGAGGGAATGGAGCTTATGAAGTGCCTGGCTTCGATTAGACTGCGGGGTTGGGGTTGCCGATTCTCTCTCTCTCGATCTGAGTTCCGAACACATCACATTCACAAGCAACTACTCTCGCATCTACTTCTACCCGTGTTCACTCAGATAGCTGCGGGAAGCTAGGCCATAGCTTGAGCACTTAGGTGACAACGGACCATGAAGTTACGATAGACGAGGAGAATTGAGTAAAGTTTGAGGCCTCCATTATCCCCATAGGTGATCAAAAACAAAAGAGATCAATTGCTCCGTCACAATGGTTACAAACGGCGCGATGCATGTCGTTGATGGCCAATTGCAATTAAAGGCGTCGTTTCCACTAGACTACCTTACCTTGTATATTATAATCTGAAGAGCTTCATTCTAATATTTCTCATCCCAACTTCTTGCTTACTCAATGTTGGGGACAACTATGACGAAAGTAGATAATTGTAGTTACTGTTCGGACAATTGAATTTTCTACTCGAATTTTCTACTTGTATCCCTTACAGTAAATCTATCCTTGAGCGTCCACTCGTATTTGTCCGTATTTGTGCGACCATGTTTGCAGTGAAGAACAAGGCACTCATCCGAAAGTCAATCGCCTCAATACAAGAAAAAAGCCACATCCTGAGCAAGAATGTACACTAGCTTGTAAAGTGACAGCTTATAGTGTTCTTCCGTACAGCGCTCTGCTGGGGCTGATGGTAATTGCCAAGCCTTTCCAAAAACTCTCTTCGACTGAGTATTGCAAGAGCCTTGCTCGCAGCGTTGAAGATGCTCGTACTCGGATCCGAACTACCTAGCTGGGGGATTACTAATTCGGGCTCCTTTGCTTGTCCGACACAGTCCCACGCACATACGACATTGTTTGGCCGTACACCTCAACCGACAGCTAAATTCTATCATGGCAGGGCCCAAGCGAGGTTCCAATCATGCATGTCTAAGCTCATGACTAACACTTCCGGACTCTAACACTGACCCGTCCGGTCCGTCTTGTCGCCTTGGCCCCACCTCAACTCCGCGGAATTCGGGACGTTCGATCGAATGAAAGGAGGAGGATAGCCCCGGTGGTGATGCACAAGCGGGACGGGTGCTGATCAACTGCATGCCGCGTGGGACAAGGTTCCACTCATGATGGCACGGAACCTCGAAACCTTTCGGTGTACACAGGCCTTGCCCAATTCCGGTGCGGGGATGCTATCAATGCCGTGTCTTTCGTGTGCTGGTGCCCCAGTCATCTCAAGTTTATAATGTCGTCGATCTGTTCATCTCTTTACTGTCGGAAGGTAAGACAAATCACCGTCGTATTTCACCTTCATTCACCATGGCCCAAGCATTCGGAAATCTACCCAGCGGAGTCGTAAAGGTCCCAGAGAAGTTCACTCTCAAGGTGCCGGACCAGAGCGTGGACGAATTTCAGCAGCTGCTCCAGCTATCGAAGATTGGGCCGGAGACCTGGTACAACAAGCAAGAAGACGGCCAATTCGGCGTATCTCGTAAATGGCTCATTAACGCTAAAGAAGCCTGGTTGAAGTTCGACTGGCGCAAACAGGAAGCTCGCATCAACTCCATACCGAATTTCAAGGCAAAGGTCGATGATGCAGATCTCGGAACCGTGGACGTCCACTTCGCTGCCCTGTTCTCCAACAAGAAGGACGCAACACCAGTCATCTTCATGCATGGCTGGCCCGGCTCATTCCTCGAATTCTTCCCGATGATCGACTTGCTTGTGAGCAAGTACACACCCGATACCCTGCCGTACCATGTCATTGTGCCGTCTCTCCCGGGCTATGGACTCTCTGCTGGCTCAATTCCGCTTGAGAAAGAGACTCAACAAGAGGCTGTCGCACGCAGTCTGCATCAGCTGATGCTTGATCTTGGATTCGGCAGCGGGTACGCTGCTCAAGGCGGTGACGTGGGAAGTTTCATGGCTAGAATTATGTCTGGCTACAAGGAGTGCAAGGCATTTCACTGTGAGTCAAACCAACAACATCGCGCGAAGCCCAAGATATTGACAATATAGTGAACATGTTGATGCCTACCCCGGAGGATGCTGCTGGTGGCACCGATGGGTTGACATCTCAAGAACTTGAACAGACTGGCAGGATGTTGAAATGGCGCTCAACTGGAATGTCATATGCCCTAGAGCACGGCCTCCGACCAGCAACCATCGGCTTGGTATTGTCAGCGAGTCCGCTGGCGTTATTGGCTTGGTATGATGTCTTTCCAATCTCTTCTGGTTTCTTAGACTTACAGAAAAATTGCAGGATTGGCGAAAAGTACATCGAGTGGGTGGACTCGCGTTACCCGCTTCAGCTGGAGACCATTCTCGAGCTCGTGAGTCTGTACTGGTACACGGACACGTTTCCAAGGAGTATCTACCCGTACCGGCCCTTGGCCAAGGCCATGTCTAGCGAAGGCGGTGGCACAACCATCTCTACTTCGAAGGAGACGCCGTTGGGATACTCGTGCTTCCCAGCCGAGATTGGCCTCATGCCAAAGGTGTGGGCAGAAAAGTCATTCCCCAATCTCACGCAGTATCGCACGCATGAGAAGGTAAGATATCAAAAGTTCTGTGTTAAAGGAGCGATACTGACTGCGTAATCAGGGCGGACATTTTGCGGCGCTTGAGCAACCGGCGTTATTGCTGCAAGATGTGGAGGATTTTTTAGCTTCTCTCAAAGCCGCTTCCAAACTCTGACTTAAGCCTCAAGATCTGGAGTCAGGTAGTTGAGAGTCTTTTATGTGACAGATTGATGTCAGATTAGGTAAAAGGTACGCCAGGTGAGGATATCAAAATACGATTGTTATTTTCAGTCATAAATTCGTAAACACCGTGGAAACTACTAGGCATCCAACCATCTGTCCACTTTCTTCCGTGCACCATCCTACGCTTCGAATCTTTCCCTCGACATGGTCCTCAAGTCGAAGCCCTTTATACTGCTCGCCGGAGCGTCCTGGCCTACTTTGCATGCACATCGACTATATTGACTTGAGTCTGCTTCTGATTCTTGATGGGGTCGTGGAACTCCGACGGACGGAAGTCTTGAGTATACGTCACTTCTCCATTCGTCCTTGAAACGGGGCTGTATCTCCTTTTCCGTTGCCAAAACCTGTAAAAAAGTAAATCTTGTTAGCTTTGCTCCTTCTCTTGGGGCCAGGAGCGTTTCAGTTGGGGCTGGAGCTTCTCGGGGACTTACATGCAAGCACCGACGACAACGGCCATCAAAATCACACCAGCACCGATGCTGACACCAACAATGATTTTCTTATCGACGCCATCAACCTCACCATCGAGCACCCCAGGAGGATTTGTACTAGTAGCAGATGCACTCGGACTCGGCGTGAACTCCTTGGGGACACCACTGCTCGAGATCAACGGCTGCGCATTCGATCCGAAGCTGACTACGTCTTGGACAACAGCCTTCGTAGCCACCGGGAAGACCGCTTCAACCCCCGACGCGACGGCTGTGATAAATGTCTCCGTCGCAACAAACTTCCGCAGAGTCTGAAGTTGTGGCGGACAGTTGATCAAGCCCGTAGTCAAGCATTCTATACCGGTATAAGTCACCTTCTTACTCAGCGTTGTCGTGGTAAGCTCCTCTTGACGCTTCTCCTTACTAGTCGCACTGGCAGAGATACTGGTCGCTGTTGTAGTCGGAACACGCGTGCTGGCACAGGCGTCTCCGAGCGTAGTGTAAAACAGCGGAATCTGGGTGTTGGGCACCGGACCCCAGATGCGGTCGCCGATCTGGACTGAGGCGCCGGCCGCAGCACCGAGTGCAAACTGATACGCGTTGACGGCCCGTAAGACGCAGCCGTCCTCGTCTGGAGTCGACAGGGCCGTGACGCCGGTGCTCAATTCAGCAATGTTGGCAAATACGCTGACTTCTATCCCGGCTGAGGCACCTGGGACCTTGATAGTGTTGTTGAAGAGTTCAATCTCCTTGCTGTCGACGGGAGACGAGATCTCAATGCCGGCACTAAAGCCTGCGCGGAGAATGGCTTTGAGCTCCACGCCGGCGGTCTCGATGATAACGGGGAGGAATTCGAATTGGCCACCCTTGCTAGAAATTCTGAATTAGCGACGGAAGGATCAATTTGAAACAAAAAAGAAACCTACAAGTTTACACTGGAAACATTCTTGGAAAAGAGCGCGATATCAAAGCCGACTTCATCGTCCATCCGAAGGTGAAAGCCGCTACTCATCTGAAGCTCACTCTCAACACTCAAGATTAGGTCGATGGAAAATACAACGCCCAGAAGCAAGTCGTCCCCAATCTTCGAGCCTAGGGGAGTAGTTGATGTGTAGAGGTTGAGCGTGTACGACAAGCCAGCTGACAAGGTGGTGTCAAGCTGCATATAAATCTCCAAATCTTCAAACCCAAAACCTAGGCTCGCCTCGGGGAATGAAGGAACATCGAGGTCAAACGTGATGTTCAGTGGTGGGAAGTCAAAGTCATCAGCATCTAAGCCGTCAGACAAGTTATCCATCACGCCGGAAACATAGTTCTTGGCATATGTGGTAATGTTGTCGAAGGTCTCTTCAAACTCGTTTCCAATTTCAGTTGCTACCTTCGTTGCATTGAAGGTGCCGTCGATCGTGAGGTGAGCACTGGCTTTGCCTTTGATATAGCACTTAGTGCACACAATCTCAATGCCCGCACTTGCTGTGACGTTGGCACCAGCCTCAACCTCTTGCTCACTGAGAATGAGATTATTAGTATGTTGCTTTCCTCGAGTTATTTCCTCGAAGTGTTAATACTTACTACTTGAAGAGAATTGCATTATCAAATCCAGTGTCAAGTGAAGTGCTGTTACTGAACTTGGTCTCTCGTCCCTCAAGCCTTGCGTTGGAGAGATACCGACGGATGGCTAGCAGTGTGTTGGAAGCTGTCTTGCCAGGGCTGCTTCGCACCACCATATCTACCGGGGTTTCATACTGGCTAGCCGCAACGGTCCAACTGACTGTAAATGCCCCCAAAAGAAGTGAAGTGAGTTGTGGGAACATTGTTTGCACTGGCTTCTGACAATGAGAGGCTGAGGAGAGGAGTCTGATCTTTTTTCAGTTGAACTTCATCGAGAAAGCGTGGGAATGATGCTCAATTTGACTATCCTAGCATCCCCAGTCTCATGGTTTGATGTGCAAAGGGGTCCATACCCCCGACAGAGCTTCACGAGCCTGATCCCCAAAACGCGAAGTTTGTTGGTTCAGCCCATGCAGTTCGCCGGTTGGCGCAGCAGAACCCCGGCTTGAATAATGTCTCAGCCGGACGCAGGGGCCCAACCTGGTGCTCAACTGCGATGACTGGGTTGTGATCTCCCTGGACCTTCCAAAATGTCACAGCCTTCTAACAGGCTGAGGCGAGTTGCAGCCAATATAAGATTGATGGAAGCTAATTTCTAGTCGAAGGCTGATCATCCTAGCACAGGTACGCGGCGATGGACAAGATCATGGCAAGTTGGCAACCGAAGCTGCGGCGCCGTTGAGAACATAGCATTCTCCTTGCTCATGCAAATTGAGGGCTGTCATCTTACTGAAGAAAGAAGACCCTCGTAGGGGTGTCGAGTTTGAAACATGAAGTGGTGATAGGCAACACTATCTCGAGTCAGGTTGGTTCGTCGCGACCTGCATGTCGTGACCACCCTATTTTGTGTCGGACAAGGCTAAGAAGGGTGGCTTGCTGCACCAAAACCGCATGAGGAGCACCCCACTGGCCATGTGGGATCACTGCAGTTGCATTCAGCCGAATCTTTTTTTAACCTTCTGAACACCATCACCAAGCTTCGCCACGACGCGTCAAATAATGCAGAAAGAAATAATTCGACTACAGTTTTGAATCATTTACATAGTTCGCGATGCCAAAATGGACGGAACAAGACATCAAAAAAGCGGGAATCGGCGTATCCAACGGCAAACCCGCGCGCAAAGCCGCCAAAGACTGGAGCATCCCCTACACCACCCTCGACCACCGGCTCACGCCCGGCAGGAAGGCATGCAGAGAGGCCAAGCAGAAATACCAACGCCTCAGCGTGTCTCAAGAGAGATCCCTGGCTGCCTGGGCAATTTCGCAGGCGGAGCAGGGCTTCCCCGTCACCCGCCCTCAGATCAAGGAGTGTGCGTTGAAGGTGCTCGCCACGCAAGGTGGCACCCGCGGGCCCAGTAAGAGGTGGATTGAATAGGTATAAGAAGGCGAAGGGGACAGAGGCTCAGGCAGTGGGACAGGCAGTGGCGGACGGTAGAGCAGGGGTAGAAGCTGGAGTCGCTGCACAGGTCGGGGCAGGGGCAGAAGTTGGGATAGTGGTAGAGGCTGGAGAAACGATAGAGGCAACAATAGTAGTAGAGGACGAGCTAGTGGCAGAGACTGGAACAGTGATAGATGTCGAAGCCGAGGTAGAGGCAGTGGACATGAAAACTCCAGCCAGCGAGAATAACAACGAAAACTTGGAGGCGTGGGAGCCGTGACGGCCCCCACGTTGTGTTGGTTGTTTGATTGTAGCCTACTGCAACGATCCCTCCGCAGGTTCAAGGGGGCACATATGCAGCTCCATGTTTCAGGCACGTTTTTTGCAGGTTTGGCGGTGGCTCATGAGTCGCGACCAACGAGACCAACTGCATGGGAAGCGGGCAGTGGTTGTCGGCGTTGGAACGGCGTTTAGTTTTCACAGGAAGATATCTTGCCAGTAGCGGGTTCATCGATTTATTGACTGACGGCCGACCAGCCACTTTGACTTAATTCGTTTTGCCGTGTCGGGCTTCTAAATAAAGACCAACATAGATATCACGATGCAGCAACGGCTTTCGAGTTGTTCGGGAGGTCAAACACCTTGCCCGGATTCATAATCCATCTGAAAATACGTAGTCAGTATGGCGCAAGCATACCATTCAGATGATCAATAGACTTACTTTGGATCCACCGCCTGCTTCAGCGTCCTCATGAAGTCAATGGCATCAACGCCGAGCTCATCAACAAGACAGCCCTTCTTTCCAATCCCAATGGCATGTTCTCCCTGCAAGTCAAAGATCAGCGTGACTGTCGATAAATATTTTATCGTCAAGGGAAACAAAAAACTCACTGAAACAGTACCCTCCATCTCCAAAGCTCTGCCCATCATATCATGAACACACTTGGCAACGGAAGCCCGCTGTTCCTCGTTCTTCGGGTCATACATGACCGCTTGGTGGAAGTTGCCGTCTCCAACATGTCCAATGACGCTTGCAAAAAGACCGAGCTTGCCAGAGTCTTCTTTGGACAATGCTGTAAAACAGATTTGATTAGCGAACTTCTAGACCTCGAGACGACGTAATAATCAGACATTGACATGGTTGCGAAACTTACTAATTATTTCGGCCAATCTCGAAATCGGCACAGCCACGTCCGTAGACCAGAGAGAGTACCCCTCGGGCTTGATCGATGTCATTGTCCAAAGAGCTCCCTTTCTCGCGGCCCATAGATCGGCTTCTTCCTGCTTGTTTCTGGCGAAGAAGACCTTGCGCGGCTTGAACGGCTGCACAATCTCCTTGACCCTAGCAACATCTCCCCTGATACCGTCGGTGGTCCCGGCGAACCTAAACAACAAAAGTCAGCGCAAGTAGAGGAAGAGAAAGGAAGTAAAGTCACAACTCACTTCAAAAACAACGTCGGAGTCTCATCCCACGCAGTCTTCCTCACAGCCTCACTCCCATGCCGATTAATAACCTCCATCTGCACCTCATCCAAAAACTCCAACGCCCCAAGCGGCACCCCGCTCCTTATCAAACCCGTCGCCGCCTTCGCCGCCTCCTCAATCGTCCCAAACGACAACACCGCAACACTCGTATCCGCCGGCGCGACAGCGAGCTTCACCGTCGCCTCCGTCACGATCCCCAACGTGCCCTCGGCGCCAACAAACAGGCTCGTCAGGTTATACCCGGCCGAGTTCTTGCGCGGCCGCCGGCGCGTCTTGATGACGCGCCCGTCGGCGAGGACGACGGTCAGGTTGACGACCCAGTCCTTCATTGTGCCGTAGCGGAAGGCGTTTGTGCCGCTGCAGTTTGTGGAGACCATGCCGCCGATGAAGGCTGTGGGGGAAGGGTCGAGCGGGAGGAAGAGGCCTGAGGATTGGATTTCTTTGTTGAGGGTCACCCAGTTTACGCCTGGTTGGACGACGACGTCCATGCTGGGTTTGTGTTAGGACTGGTGGTCTTCGTGGTAGAAGGAGGTGGGGAAGTACTCGTCAGGGTGGAAAGCAATGATCTTGTCCATGTGCACAAAGTCGATGCAGATTCCGCTGTATGGCGACGAGAAGCTTCCCTCGACAGAAGAGCCAGCGCCAAAAGGCACTGAGACTGGTCAGAACTCTGATGACAGTGGCGATAGCTCCAAGAACAGGATACTGCATGGGCTCAGGTTTGAAGAGGCAACTTACCCATAGGCACATTGTACTTGTTGCAAACCTTAGCTATCTGCGAGACATCCTCTGTCGTTCTGGGATAGACAATAGCCACAGGGCGACCGCTCGAGTTTGACGTAGACCAATCAGAGTGTCCATGCACCTCAATCTCATCTTGATCGAAGCTGACTGCGCCCTCACCCAGAGCATTGGAGATCTCCTGGGCCGCCTTGATAAACCTTTCAGCGTATTTCCTCGGCGATTTGTGGTTCTGGATTTCACCGTACCTTTATCATTTCCTTCCGGCTCGCGAAATCCACATGAGATAGCTTCGCTTGTCCCTCAATGGCCGGTCCCGAGGTGCTGGATCGGCCGATGAGGTATCCGGCAAAGAGCGGGATGGCGCCGAGAACCAAGAGTTGGAGAGGTATGAGTTTACCGCTTTTCTTGGATTGTGGCCCCGTGTGAGCTGATCGGAAGAACTTGGCTCTCGATGAGCTGGTTCCTGAAGCAATCGGCCGGGGTAGTGCGCGTCGACTGGTGCCACTCGTTAGAGCGCGACAGCGCGTGAGTACGCGGAATGCCATTGTTTTGACTCGTTCTGCTCCGATGTGTTTTCCTAAGTTGACTGTTGACTGAAGGATGTTGTGGTCAGTCAAATGCCCCGTTGATGAGCCGCGATATGGTCCGTCACAAAGGGAGGTTGAGAGGGCGGGTGCAACGCTCTAATGACGCGTTCCGCCGGATAACTCAAGTTGGAAACCCTAGGATGTGTGCAAAACGCAGAATTTAGAATATAAAATCGTGGGCCTATTAAAACTCGTCAATTGGAAGATGAATTCAAGTCGCAAGACAGTGAGACCAATGGCCGCGCGCAACGAGTGCCGGAACTACCAAGGGGGGAATCTCCCTCCCCTGGCCCCGGAAACCGGACGAGGATTGGGCCGAGGCAAGCCGTCTGGTCCCGTCACAAACGAAGCCCGGCCACTCATCGCAGCTCAACGGCTGCAATACGTTATCTACCAGTGTTTAAATACCTATTCGAGGCTTCCTTTCTCACAGAGTAAGCGCGGCGCGTTGAATTCTAGCATAATGAGGGAATGAAGAAGTGTATGAGCTATAGAACAACATTGGTACTCATGCTACCTCAACTTGAATGAGAATCCGTCGCAAATTCGCTCCAATAAGACGCCGAGGTCATCACGAATAAGTCAGCCGGGATCTCATCAACGATAGTGACTCACTCACAACCTCACTCGCCATCCCGCACCCTCTCACCTCACCACGAGCTTTACACATTTTACTCCCATAAGTCAAAGCGTTCAATAATCTCAAACCTCAAAATGCCACCCTCAACCCCCCTAGCCCTCCCGAAATCCCACCCCTCCCCCGCAATATTCCAAGTCCTCCTCGACCGCTACAAATCCCTCCGCCTCACATCCCTCCTCCTCTCTCCATCCTGCTTCGGCTCAACCCACGCCCGCGAGGTCGTCTTCCCCCCAGAGAAATGGGTATCCCGCCTCACGAACCCCGGCGCGACAACAATAATCATCTACGAGGACGCGACACCATCCCCAGATACGCTCCCGACCTCAGCAACATCTTCTACAGACAACGATGACTCTGCCTCCTTGGGTAAAGCCCTTACGGCAGAGTGGCTAGCAACACTGACAATAACCGGCCCCCTCGACGCAGAAACCCTCTCAACCTCTCTCCTAGACTTTGGTCCGAAACACCAACCCTCACCAGACGTCCCCATGTCTCAATACGTCATAAACGGCATGTTCGTAACACCGTCGGCACGGGGGAAACAACTCGGCACCAAACTACTCGAATTCGCCAAAGCCCATGTCGCTTCAGAAATAGCAACTACCCACGCAGAAGGGAAGGAGAAGGAGAGAGCACGGATATCACTCATCGTGGACTACGACAACGAACCCGCCCGCAAGACGTATGGGAGATCTGGATTTGAGATTGTCCGTCGTTATTGGTTTAATGATTACCGTGAGGGAAGGGAGTCGAGGACCGAGGCGGCGGTAATGACGCTTGATCTTTGATAATCGTTGCATGAGGACCAAAAAGCCCGATTAACTTGCCGTTAGACATTGAGTATGATCATTCGCTTAGGAAGCGGAAAAGGTCGCTGTCGATGACCATAGACGGAGGTAGCGAGCATCATTGTAGATAGATGCACGTCATGTCACGAATTCACTTTATCAGAGGCTTTGTCTTCGGTAAATGTTTTATTGTTTTTCATATCAATCCATCAATCCCCGAATATCTAGAAACCCAGTCACCAGTCCGTCGCATCTGTCGACTATGGACAAGATCCAAGTACCTCGTTATCATGTCCAAAAACAATATCTTCAGAAGAGACCTTCGGCAACAAACAAAACCTTCTGGGCCTTCTCTTCCCCCAACTCTCCCTCGAGCCAAGCAACCGCCTTCTCCTCCAGCATCTCCCAGCTGTCCCGCTCCTCTGGGAGGACCTTGCGCAGGAAGGCAATGACTGCAGAGGTAGACATGACTCCCTCGTCATCAACACCAAGCGAGCGCAAAGCGTTCTTCACCACCTCCAAAGTAGTGCCAATGATGTTGAAAATTTCCTTCGAGGAGTCCCAGCTACCGTTGAAGTTCTGGAGCGATACTATGGCAGAGAACGGATCGGTAGGTGATGAGAAGTTGTCGTATCCCGGTAGCACAATGTTGAGAGAATCTTGGCCCTTTTTAAACTTCTTCTTCTTCTTCGACAGGTCGAGAGTGGCTGCCGCAGCAGGGACGGCAGCCGGGGCAACTTCATTTTCCCAATCATCATCAGGATCTTCACCAGGAAGGGGCATGCTTGCAGCTTCAGACATCTCCCGTTGGTATAGATCCAGCAGAGCGGCGTCAACCTGGGCGGTGGGAGGAGCCAGCGCGGCAGCTTGGAAGATGGGAGGCTCTCCGTTGCCAGACCATTGAGAAGCTGCGCTTGAGCTGCCAAAGAGATTTCCAATCTGTGGCACGGAAGATGTAGACTGGTCACTAGCAGACCGATGAGGAGCGCTACCAAATAGACCTCCAGTCTGGGGCACGGAAGAGACAGAATTGGCAGCCACGGGTTGACCAAACAATCCTCCACCTGATCCAGTTCCACCAAACAGAGATCCTCCAGCCTGCCTTGAACTGGCTGGAGATGCGCCGAATGCACCAGCGGCAGAAGAACGTGAGCCAAACGGGCTGGTGGAAGCTGGATTGGGTGGCGCAGAAGCCGTGGGTTGTCCAAACAAGCCTCCGCCAGATCCGCCAAAGCCCCGAGATGCTCTAGTTCTCGGTGAAGCACCAAAGGCACCAGTGACAGAAGGACTTGAACCAAAGAGACCACCGGCAGCTGGAGTAGACGACGGGGAAGGGGCTACAGGGTGGCCGAACAAGGATCCGGTGGGCTGGCCGAAGGCCGTAGGCGCTGTCCGATGTTGCTGTTGCTGGGAATTGGAAGAACCTACTCCGCCGAACAACGAACCGCCGGTAGGTGGTGCAAATGGGTTTGAGGAAGCCGTTGAGGTTGACATACCGAACACTGATGCGCGTGTTGCTGATGGGGAAGCGGCGCCGGATGACATTGATGAGTTTTGACCGTCATCATGAGCTCGGGACCGTGATCGGGAAACCATGCCTCCCCGACATAAGCTAGGACCTGACCCCCTCTGGAGATTCGAGAACAGATTTTGTGTCTCAAGTTTGGCCTGCTCTGGGTTGACCTGCTCTATATTGGCGGCGGGGATGTTTGGAATGTCGTTCTGCTCAACAGCAACAAAGGAGCACCATTTGCCTCCAACCTGAAACTGGATGCCGAGTCGGACGGCCTCTCGCTCAACCATGCTGGGGAAGCGGCCGGGATTCTGTGCTTCTAGAAGGTTGCCATCTTTACCCTTGGCGTGGTAGATCCAGCCACGGCCTTCTTCCAGTTCCTTGACAGCCTTGCGAGCGGCGAGCTGATGAATTGTCTCGGCCTTTTCGTCCAGCAGGGTGATGGGAATTTGGAGCTCCAAGGGACCCTGGGATGAGGTGCCGCGCAGAACCAAGGCCTCGGGAGTCTTGGATCTCAGCTCTCTGTCGGGAGAAAGCAAGAGATAGACAGTGGTGCGGCTGAAAGGGAAGAGAGGCGGGATCTGGAAAGGAGCTTGAATAATTTTGGGCGGCTTGACTGTCGGAATGTGGGAGTACCGCTCTAGGCCAGAGCCGTCGTCTTGAGCCTGGGAATCTTCCATGTCAACGTCGTCTTCTGCGCTGGTGTCAAAGAGGGAAATTGGCTTGGCGGGCTTTTCGGGTTCTTTGCCATTGGCTGTCTTCTCGCGAGTCGCCTCTTCGGGTTCAATGATATCAAAGTCATCTTCAGGCTCCGTCTCAGACTCGGCATCGGCATATTTGACTTCGAGGGTATAATCATTGATATGGGGAGTGAGAGCTCCCTTGAGCATGCGTACAACTTTGCCAGACATTTTCTCACCCTCGGAGACAGATTGCGAGAAGCCATTGCCAGCTCGAGCGAGGCCTTCGATGAGAGAGTGGCTGACACCGCTGCCGACACCCAGGGTAAAGAGACGAATGGCGCCCTTGGACTCACGAACCAGTCTGTCCACCATGCCGAAGAGGCGACCATGGTCCCAAACCTCACCGTCAGTGAGGACGAAAGTCTCAAGATCAAGGTCGATGTGGCGTCGCTCGAAAGTTGACTCGATGGGGTTGTAGATCTGGGTGCCTCCGTAGTTGGCGGAAAAGGTGTCAATGTGTTGCATGGCAGTCTCCATGGTGTTCTGGTCATACATGACGGACTTTGGGAACAAGAAATCATGCCTGGAGCCAAAGCTGCAGATGTTGAACATGGAACCAACAGGTAGAGATTTCATAAAGACTCTTAGGGCATTCTTGAGATCTTGCATTTTGTTTCCCTCCATAGAACCGGAGCGATCACAGATAAAGACAACTTCGGGCTTGGTGGCAGCAATCTTGAACTTGGGCACAAGGGTGGCCATGAGAGCCTGCTGATGAGGGATAGTGGGGTGCGTCTCGAGAACAGCAGCTGGGTTGGAGGTGTTTGTCGCAATGACCTGGACAATGAAGTCGCCTTCCAGTTGAGCAGTGCCTAGGGAGAGGGTGGCACTCGCAAGCTGGAGAGATGGTGTGGCGCTGGCGTCCATGGTGGACGTTGAGCCGACAGAGACAGAAATGGGATGCGAAGGTGACTGGATCGACTTGATAAAGCTTCCAGCCGGCACTTGGGCATCAACTACGATTCGGATACCGTCCTGTGCAGAAACGTTGGTGGGCTTGGCCAGCAATTCGCCGGGGAATGCGCCATATCGTGGGGCAATAGAAGTAGGAATGGTGAACCTAATGCCGTCGACTTCGGCGTCGTGCTTCAACTCGCCAAGGTATTCAATCTCAACTGCGATCTGGGCGCTAGCGGGCACGTTGCCAATGGTCGTGGTGAAGACATCGCTTGCGTCAGGGAGTTGCTCCAAGAGACCAGCAGTCTGACCCTTGGCAACAGCCTGGTTGTACGTCTTGCGAGCAGCAGTCTTCTCTTGGACAACGCCACGAATGACACGAGTGTTGTCGATGGTGCAGGTAAAGGCAACTACGGACACGCCGTCATAGAGGGGGAAGGTGTAGCGAAGCTCGGGGATGGCTGCCGTCGATGAGGGATTGATAAAGGTTTGTGTGAGAGTTGTCCGAGATGTCGATGCAATGATGCGAGCGTGCACCGACTGGGAAAGTGTGGGAAGATATTGCCGTGCGTGTCTCTGGTGGCGATGCGGATCAATGAAGTAGAGACCACAGATGTGTTGATATGCAGGCTGGACCCCAAACAGACCGGGTCCGCCACTGGGGTGACCAAAGACCATGATGGAGGTAGTTTCGTCGGGTCGATTAGATGTGGTGTGATGAAAAAGGGAGACTCGTTGGGATGGCTAGCCGTGAGGTGCAGTAGATTGAGCTGTTTTCTGCTGGCTGCTGGGAATGTCCCACTTTGTGTTGTTGACTGAGATGCCCCTGGGATGTGTCGTCGTGTACCAGCGACGTCTGTATGAATATGCGCAAGGGGATAGGCGGTGATGAAGTTTGCTGTAAGGTTGAGATGGGTTGATGTAAGAAGAGGAGGATACACACAGAGACCTGAGAACCTGAGGACTCTTATATGCATCCATCACCAAAGGCAGGACCGGCCGTTGGCGGCCGCTCCTTCTCGGTCGTTCGTCAAGCGTCACCTAGCGCTGCCAAAGTAGGTACCAAAGGCAATTGCAGGCAACAGCTCCCTACCACAAAGAGCCAATCACAGCTCGCTTTGAGACTGAATGAAAAAATCTGATTGGCCGAGGTGATCAGGTCGAAAGCTGTCTTTGGTCAGCAACTTTGACGCTAGCAGGGGAAGACAGATACGTACAGGGGCATCCAGTGACTCGCAGGGGTGGCTTCGCCCCATAATCGTCCGCCATCTCCACTTTTGTCCACCAGAACGTTGTGCGCCGCTGCGTACTCCGCCCCAGGCTGACTTTCCACCACCACGCAAAGCCAATCAGACCTTGTCTCTGTCACCTTCCAGAATTCGAATACCACAAGGCATGAACCACCTAGAGCGGGTATCGACATACGGGTACCGACAGGCAACGATCGGATTTGGTAAGGCTGAAGCAGCAGTTCCTTCCTGCCCAGCATCTGCAACAAGGCAGATACCTACCTATTCTACCGTACCTAGGTATCTCGAAGTGTGCAAGTCTTTCAGTCTCGGCCAATTCTTTCCCGCTTCTGACACCGAGTTCTGAAAAGCATCAGCAACTCACCTTCGAGTTCCCCGCTTCTGCCTGGATCGTGAAGCTCGCCCCACTTACTCCGATTCATCGGATTTCCATACTGATCATTACATCCATCGACCCAACAGATATTGGTATTTCTCAAGTCTTTAACTCTCTTCTATTTTTTCTCTAAAGAAGAGGCTATTCGGCTAATCTTGTTGCCAGTCCCAATTTCAAAATCGAATCTCTCCCCTTGAACAAAACAGTGCATCAATACCTTGGCGCACTGCTGTCGCCCTCCCACAATGTCACAGCCTACGCCATGGGCATCAGAGCCGTCAACATCAGTCATGGATGCACCGGCAAACCCTCAGTCCAAATCGCCCTTCAATAAAGTTCCTCTCGAGGTTCTCATTCGCATATCTGATCAGTTGT